CCACCTCAGGATCCATGCGTACCGAATCCGTGCGGTAGCAATTCAATCTGTAAGATTAATAATGGACAAGCTACGTGCTCCTGCATGCCCGACTTTTTCGGTGCACCTCCAAATTGTCGACCAGAATGCACAATTAACTCAGAGTGTGACTCTACACAAAGCTGTGTAAACCAAAAATGTAGGAACCCATGTATCGGCGTTTGCGGAGAAAATGCTGAATGTAGAGTTGTGAATCATGCACCAATTTGTAGTTGTCGACAAGGTTTTGAAGGAGATCCATTTATCCGCTGTGGAGTGATACAAAGTAAATATATTTCTTATCTAATCCTCTTTATAAGCATATTCAAATCCATATAATATATAAATCAATGTAATTTTTAATTTGCAGGATTACCAGAGCCAGATGTGAATCCTTGTTTGCCATCTCCATGTGGACCGAATTCCTTCTGCCAAGTTATTAACAAAATACCATCATGTTCATGTATGGACAACTACGTCGGATCACCACCGAACTGCAGACCTGAATGTTCCATTAACTCTGACTGTCCCAGTAACAAAGCGTGTATAAACAGCAAGTGTCTCGATCCTTGTCAAGGATCTTGCGGCTTACAGACAGAGTGTCACGTATATCAACATGCTGCTATATGCAGCTGCTTGGAAGGGTACACTGGTAATCCATTCCAAAGTTGCCACGTAAAAGAAAAAATAGGTAAGCATTAGATTTAGAAATAAGTACATAACTTCTGAACTTTGTTTTCGGTTCAACTCAGGCAAATCAGAGAAAAAAGATTTTAGTTTTGTATGAAGTTTATCCTGACATTGTCTTTGTTAATGAAATAAGACTACCTACTCATTATAACTAAATGAAGACACAATAATTGTAATTTTTTAATTTTCTTAACTATAGCATTTTATTATATTTCAGAACCAATTCCGACTATTTATGACAAGTGCAATCCCAGCCCATGCGGAGCAAACGCAGATTGCAATGACGGTGTATGCACTTGTAAACCAAATTACTTTGGAAATCCATACCTAAGCTGTCGTCCAGAGTGCACAACTAACTCTGACTGTGCATTGAATTTAGCCTGCAGTAACAATAAATGCATTAATCCATGCGCTAATCTGTGCGGTCAAGGAGCCCTGTGTGAAGTCTATAATCACATACCAATGTGCAGCTGCCCTTCAAATACAACAGGAAATGCTTTCTTTAGTTGTGTGGCAATAACTGGTTAGTATAAAACCTTAATATTATATGCGACTAAAAACATTGATTCATTGTAATGAATAATTTAAATCACTTACCGTGATGATAATTTAAGATTAATTAAATAGAATGAAATAACCATAACCATGTGCATTATTTCCATCTTAATATAAAAAAACATTGTTTAATTTCAGCACCACCAAAGAGGAATCCATGTGAGCCTTCACCGTGCGGACCGAATAGCGTGTGCCGTACTATAAACGAACAGGCAATGTGCTCATGTCTGATTGGCTACTTCGGTGCCCCACCATCGTGCAGACCAGAATGTTTGGTGGATTCAGATTGTACAAGCGTTATGTCATGTTCCAATCAAAAATGTGTCGACCCATGTAGAGGCTCTTGTGGATTGAATGCTGAATGTAGAATTCACAACCATAAACCTATTTGTTACTGTCCAAACGGTTTCAGTGGCGATCCATTTACCCAATGTTCCATCATTCCTTTAAGTAAGTATCAGGAAAACTTTTTCTCTACACCTTCTGATAAGTTTGGGTTATCATTTATTATAACTTTTTCTATTCTTTCAGGTTTGCCGCCTGCCACAAGAGCTCCATGTGATCCTTCACCTTGTGGACCTAACGCGTTATGCCGAGCCGTCAATGACTCTCCATCTTGCACTTGCTTATCTGGTTTCATTGGGAATCCTCCTTATTGCCGACCAGAGTGCGTAACAAACAGCGAATGTAGTTTTGACAAAGCTTGTGTCAACAAAATCTGCGTCGATCCTTGTCTAGGAGCGTGTGGGCGAAATGCAGAATGTCGCGTGATCAGTCATTCACCGCAATGCATTTGTCAACCTGGCTATAGAGGAGATTCGTTTGACCAGTGTACACCAGTGTCTGGTAAGCGATTTAAAATAAAAAGCGGTAATGCTTCTACTGCCTTCTTCAAAAGAAGTATCCAAATGAAATTATTCTGTTTTTTTTTTCAGTTCCTTCGACAAGACCACCGGTCCCAATAAGACCTTGTTCACCGAGCCCCTGTGGATTGAATGCGATTTGCCAAGAGCGTAACAATGCAGGAAGTTGTTCATGCTTAGTGGGATACTTTGGCAATCCTTATGAGGGATGTAGACCAGAATGTGTCATTAATTCGGATTGTACAGACAACTTGGCCTGTGTGAACAACAAATGTCAAGATCCGTGCCCAGGTCTATGCGGTACAAATGCTCGCTGCCAAGTAGCAAACCACGTTCCTAATTGCATCTGTTTAACTGGTTACATTGGAAACCCGTACGACAACTGCATTCTGAGAGAAGGTAAACCAACTAACAATTTCATAACTACGATAGCAATACATATTTTGTCATTTTGCTTATGTTATCTTTTTCTTTACAGAAAAACCAATAAACCCGTGTAATCCATCACCGTGCGGACCCTATAGCACTTGCAAAGAAATGAATAATCAAGCTATATGCACATGCCAACCAGAATACATTGGTGCACCTCCAAATTGTCGCCCTGAATGTTTAACAAGCCCAGAATGTCCACTTGAAAAAGCATGTGTCAGGCAAAAATGTGTCGACCCCTGTGTTGGTACTTGTGGGCAGAATGCTCAATGTCGCGTGCATCGTCATAGTCCCTATTGCACATGTTTATCTGGATTCGAAGGAGATCCATTCACAAGATGCTATAGAAAAATAATTGAGCCACCTGTAAAACCTACTCCATGTGAACCCAGTCCATGTGGTCCATTTGCAACTTGTAGAGATGTTGGTGGTTCCGCTATATGCAGCTGCAACCCAGGCTATGTCGGCGCCCCTCCGCGTTGCGCACCAGAATGCACTATTAATGAAGATTGTCCAAATAACAAAGCATGTGTTCGGGAAAAATGTGTAGATCCCTGTATTGGATCCTGCGGGCCCAACGCAGAGTGTCGAGCTATGAACCATGTTGCTATATGCACTTGTTTAAGAGGTTATCGTGGCAATTCATTTGAAGGTTGCTACATATTAAGAGGTAATTACTTTTTTCGTTTCAAAATATGATTATAAGTACCTTAACTAATTTTAATTAATTTATAAGTAAGTAATACGCATTATTCTTATTATTTAATTTTTACACAGAACCCGAACCTAACCTACCACCGTTGGATCCATGCATTCGTAATCCCTGTGGAATAAATGCAATTTGCGACAATGGAACATGTTCTTGCGTGCCAGGATATCAAGGCAATCCTAATATAGAATGTCGACCAGAATGCACATCTGATAATGAATGCTCAAAACAAATGGCGTGTGTAAACTATAAATGCGTGAACCCCTGTGTAAACGCATGTGGTGTGGATGCTGTATGTAATGTGTACAACCATTTAGCAATTTGTGAATGTCCAGCGCCACTGCAAGGAGATCCATTCTTAGCTTGCCGTCGACCTATAGGTAAGTCATAAAAAAGTTTCTGCTTTGTGCGGACGATTACGAAATAGGACCCTCATGCTAGTTCACGTCATGTAGAAAATATTTTGAAATTGTTTTCAAAAAATCAAACAAACCGCGTATTTGTGTAATGCTGAGCAATTGCAATATAAGAAAACTACTTACATAATGCTTCATCACAGAACCCGTGGTGTCGGACCCATGCACGCCGAACCCTTGCGGCCCGAACAGCATCTGCCGCGCTGCGGGCACCGTGGCCCACTGCTCGTGCAGACCCGCCACGGTGGAGCAGCGCGGCGCTGGCTGCCGCTCCGAGTGCCAACGCGACGCCGACTGTGCGCAGGACCGCGCCTGTCGCAACAACAGGTACAGTGTTCAGAAAAAACAAAAGAACTACCAAATCACTATTATAACTATCCCCAATTTACAGCATTATACAGCTGGAAACAATGGTTATTTACTTTCATAGGTAAAACGTAAGTGGACGACGAAGGCTAATTTAGAAATTAACATTTTAATTAATTATTCATTTAAAACAGATGTCGCGACCCATGTCCTGGCGCCTGTGGGGCCCACGCTATATGTCACGCGCGGTTCCACTCGCCAATCTGTTCATGCCCGCCTAACTACATCGGAGACCCATTCATAAGATGTTTGCCAGGTATGTTACAAAAACATCGTGGAAAACCACGACGTAAAAAAAGTTCTTTCTGATGTTCAGTCTCTAAATGTTATCTTGAAATCGATTTCACAGCCGTCTTCGAAACGGAACCGAAGAGATCAGAATGTCCAGACTGCGGTCCGAACGCAGATTGTATCGGCGGTCAATGCCGCTGCAGGACCAGCTTCCTCGGATCACCGCCGTTCTGTCGCTACGAGTGTCTCAACTCCAACGACTGCGACGGCCGGTCCGCTTGCGTGAACAGGCGTTGCGTCGACCCGTGCCCTGGCGCTTGCGGCGCGGGCGCAATATGCACACCAGTCGCGCACGAACCCCGTTGCACTTGTCCCCCTTCCACTACTGGAAACCCCCTTATGGAATGTCGTCCCATCGGAAATATTCGTAAGATAGATTTAGATGACAACGCTTATTATAAAACAAAATTGAAATGTTTGCTAGTAGTGAATCGAAACGTTAATACATGAAAAACAAATAGGGAATCTCAATTGTGGCTAGCTAATGTTTTCGCATTTAAAGCTTAGGCATGGGTTTTACTTGCGAAACTTAGTGAACTGCTTCTTGGGACGTGACTTTAATTTTTCCTTTTCGGATAATTTTCGGATAATAGCTTAATAGCGTACTTGCTGTAATTATGCGCAATTATGAACTTATTTCAAATTGTATGTTGATATTTACAGCCAAACCACCAAATGACCCGTGCTCTCCATCACCATGTGGGCCTGGCGCGATTTGTCGCGTGAGAGGAAGCGGCGCTTCTTGTGAATGTGAAACTGGCCTCCACGGGGACCCGTACACGGGATGCCGTCCCGAGTGCCTGTCAGATTCGGACTGCTCGCCATCGCGCGCGTGCATCCGCTCGCGGTGCCGCGAGCCTTGCCAAGGCACGTGCGGCGTGGGTGCCGACTGCGAGACCGTCAATCACATACCACTATGCTCATGCCCACCTGGAACAAGAGGAAATGCATTCGAAATATGTGAAATCATTAAATCAGGTAAACAGAATCTTAGTTAAAAACATACCACATGTGGCATGTCAAAAGTCACACAAATCTAATAATACCCATTAATACTCGTTTAATAATAAGTAACTGTTAACACGTCACAATTATGAATTTTTTCACGATATTTATTTACACAGTCCTACTAAACTTGTTCCATTATGTTATAGTAATTCGTTATGCCAGTGATACGGCATTTTATCAATCATGACATGATTAACGTATCCATCTCGTTATCTGACGCAGCACCACCGTGTACGCCATCGCCGTGCGGCCCGGGCGCTCTCTGTACGGTGTCAGGCAACAACGCCGTGTGCTCGTGCCCCTCGGGCACCAGCGGCGACGCGGCGTCCGGAGGCTGCCGACCCGAGTGCGTGGTCAGCTCAGAGTGCGCACGCGACCGCGCCTGTGTCCGCAACAAGTGCGTGAACCCGTGCGAGGGAGCATGCGGCCTGGCTGCCCTGTGCAGAGTCATCGATCATGCACCGATATGCTCATGTCCTTCACTGACAACCGGTGATCCATTTTTGGAATGCAGACCTACTGGTAAATATTCATATTTATGTATATTCATTCATGTTATCGTATAGACAAAAATATATGTCTTTGTGTTGCTATTACGTATTTTCACATTCCATTACAGAACCGATCGAAAACGACCCGTGCGACCCTAACCCGTGCGGTCCACACGGCACATGCCGAAACGGCTTCTGCACTTACCCAGAATGCATCGTCAATGACGATTGTCCTGGAGACCGAGCATGCATAAACAGGAAGTGTACGGACCCTTGCATCAACGCTTGCGGTTTGAACGCATTATGTACGGTGGTTAGACACGCGGCGGTATGTTCTTGCCCTGCTGGATACACTGGCTCAGCCTTCGTTCGTTGCGAACGTATCATCATTGAAACGCCACCACCGCCGAAACCTGAATGCGTTGCTGACGAACAATGCCCAGACAATGCTGCGTGTGTGGACTCACGATGCTCGCCGGTATGCGGACCCACTAACTGTGGTATAAACGCTCGCTGCTTGGCAAGACAACACAGAGCACGGTGCGCTTGTCTACCAGGATATGAAGGCGACGCTTACAGAGGATGTTATTCAGGTAAATATTAAAGAATAACTATGCTATTTTATTTGTACATTATTTTTAATTATAAATAACTACATTTTATGAAACTGTAGTACTGTACTGTATTGTTTACTAATTAACGCAATGGATTTACAGTTCAGTGTCATAGCAACAACGACTGCCCTGATGACGAAAGTTGTGAAAGCGGCTCGTGCATCAAAGTTTGCACACGTATACAATGTGGAACAAACGCTCACTGCGTCGCTCGAGGACATACTGCATCTTGTGAATGCGACTCTGGCGCTCGGGGCAACCCGTGGACCGGATGCCAAAGAAGCGAGTGTGTGGTGGACGATGACTGTGCCTCTTGGCTGGCCTGTAGAAGTGGCGTTTGTCAAGACCCATGCCCTGGCGCATGTGCCCAGGGCGCGCTTTGCACCGTCAACCGCCACGCACCTGTTTGCGAATGCCCACGAAATACTCAAGGAGACCCCAAGATATCTTGTCAACCAGGTTTGTATTGAATAATATGACTTTTAAAAATGTGTTTGTGTAAAATATGTGTATCTTTACGAATAACTTATACATTTTTAGTACTCGAGCGCGCCGAATGTGAAAAAGATGCGGACTGCGGCCCCGGCTTGGCGTGTCTGCAAGGAAACTGTAAAAACCCGTGCGAAACCACTTCGTGTGGAACACGCGCGGTGTGCAGAGTGGCGAACACCTTGCCATTCCGCACTCTCGTGTGTGAGTGCCCTAGGCCTCTCACTGGCGACGCTTCAGTACAATGTAACCCAAGTAAGTTGTCTTACAAACACATTATACATAATAATAAAAGAAATGAGTTCCAAGCATAATAATTATTCTTAAGGTAATAATGTTTGTTCTGTTAACAACAGCTTTCTTCCTGTTAAAATGTGCCTACCATCAACGACACGATATAGGAGGACTGTACCAAAAATGGAACAGAATAATAAATAAAATACAACAAGCTTATGGTAACAATCGACGACGATGAAATGAAATATGGTGCATGATACCTATAATTCATGACTATGTACAGACCCATAATGTGTTTCGGCACTGTATAATTTTTTCACTATTCAGGATATTTTTGTAGCACTCGTGTAAAATATATTTATTAGTCACTCACATTACATGCACATTTTTGGGTACACCGCACAATATAGGTACATTCCCCTAATTTTAATCAAACTTGGAAGTGGAAACTGTAGATTACATGACAATTCGGTTAACTAACCGGTTCAGTATAATTTAGTAACTGCAATAATAGTTAAGGCAATCTTATAAATAATTTACGATGGGTAAGTATTTCAAATTATTTAATTTAAAAATTCTAAAACCTATATTACGTGTACAGGAGGAGAGTGCAGCGTAGACAGCGAATGTGGACTGGAGGAGCGCTGCTTGAATGGCCGCTGTATAGGCGTCTGCGAGGCGGGCGTGTGTGGAACCGGCGCAGAGTGCCGAGCCACCAACCACGTCGCCGAGTGCCGTTGCATACCACCATTGCAAGGAGACCCCAGAGTTGCTTGTTCTCCAGGTCAGTACTCTTTAGATTTTTACTTAGTTGACTTTAGATGACGAGATGTACAAATTTCAAATGACAATTTATCACGTTATTTTGCTAAACATTCATGGTCATCTCACAGCGAGTCCATCACCTGAATGCACTACGGATTCTGAGTGCGGTGCTGCTGAAGCTTGCGTGAACCGTCGCTGCGTGTCAGCCTGCGCCGGGGCATGCGGCTCAGGCGCGCTCTGCACGCCGCTCGACCATCGCGCTGCTTGCCGATGCCCACCTGGAACGGCTGGTGATCCCTCTCGACTTTGTTACACACGTGAGTATCAAAACAAACCCTAAAATAAAATCTTTATAAATGGTTTGTTGCTATATTTTAAACCCAACTCATTTCCTTATATTTTTCACAGCTGAGTGCACAACAGACGACAACTGTCCATTTGACAAAACCTGCGTCAGAGGATACTGCCAGGACCCATGCGCCCTCGGTACACCATGCGGCCGCGATGCTGTTTGTGAAGCAGTCGCTCACGTCGCCTCTTGCCGCTGCCCACCTGGTACGCAGGGTGACCCACGCCGCGCCTGTATATCTGCCATCTGCCACTACAACGAAGACTGCGATGACACACAAACCTGTAACAGACTTAACCGCGTTTGCCAACCGGCTTGCACTGATGACGCCTGCGCGCCCGGTGCTACATGCACTGCAAGAGACCACAGGCCCGTCTGCACTTGCCGATCCGGTCTATCCGGCGACCCATACCTTCAGGGTTGCGGAAAACAAGTTACAACCGAATGCGTCACTGACTCTGATTGCGCTTCTCCACTCGCATGTGTTAACGCTCGCTGCACAGACCTTTGCCTAACAAATCCATGTGATGTAGGCCTGATTTGCAAGACTGTCGATATTCTACCTCTACGAGCAGTCGCATGCGTTTGTCCGGACGGTGGTCGAGTAGCGCCTGACAGTGGATGCCGTTCACCACCTGAAGCAGAATGCTCCGCTGATTTGGACTGTGCTCTTAGCCAGGTCTGTCGACGAGGAAGTTGCGTAGACGCGTGTAGAGTCAACCCTTGTGGACAAAACGCTCTTTGCGAATCAGTCGACCACGCAGCGCACTGCACATGTCCTCAAGGATACTACGGCAACCCGAAAATAGAATGTAACGTGGAACCAAGACAACAAGTTCCAGAATGCTACAGTGACGACGAATGTAGCACAGAGCGCGCCTGTCGAGATCGCCAGTGTGTCAACCCTTGCGCAAATGCATGTGGACCTGGAGCGTTATGCAGAGTTATCGATCACAAACCACAGTGCTCTTGCCCCAGTGGTTACTCTGGGGTTGCAACTAGACAATGTGTACCACGTAAGTAGCAATATTTTAAAATATATGATATAACCAACAAATTAACAAAATCAGCATTCAGATCGTGCTTTTAGTTTGATCCTGTAAAATAACATTTCTATAATTTTTTCTGATAAGTATTTCTGTAGTAAAACAAATTTTCATTTTCAGCTGCAGAAGACAAAACTGTAGGTTGTAAAGCGAACTCCGAGTGTCCATTGTCCCAGGCATGTGTAAATGGCGCATGTGCGAACCCTTGCGCTTGCGGCACCAATGCAGAGTGCTCAGTAATACGACATCATCCGGTTTGTTATTGCGCAAGTGGATTCTCAGGCAACCCATACATCGGGTGTAGAAAGGGTAAGCAATATGACATAACATAAATCTAATATTTGACTGTTTCTAGCAAGGCTTAGATCTTAAAATAGAATTACTTAATAAGCATTGTTTTTATTCAAAAATAAAATTTTAATTGTGTTTTACTTTTAGTTGGCTGCTCGTCAGACTCCGAATGCTCGGACAGCGATACCTGTTACAATGGTGCATGTGTTAACCCATGTGTAATAGATGCACCATGTGCTATTAGCGCAGAATGCTATGGAAAATCACACCGAGCCAACTGTCGCTGCCCTGCTGGTACCATAGGAGACCCATACACCAGATGTAAAACTTCCGAGTGCGAAATTAACAGTGACTGTAACGACGACAGCGTCTGTATTAACGGTGTTTGTCTTCATGCCTGCTCAGCAGAAGGTCAAAGTCCATGCTCAAACAACGCAGAATGCTTCGCGAGAAATCACGCAGCATCATGTAGATGTCCAGCTGCGCTACCATCTGGCGATCCTTTAACTCATTGTATGAAGATTCCGGTAATTGGCGAACCAGAATGTCGTGTAGACAGTGACTGTCCTAGTAAACACGCCTGTTTGAGAGACCAATGTCGCGAGGCATGCTCTGAACTGAAGCCCTGCAATGGAAATGCGCGTTGCTCAGTTTCGGATAGTATACCGTTCCGTACTTTGTTATGTCGCTGTCCCGAAGGTTATCTACCAGACGAAGCTGGGTCATGCAAATCTGCGCAACTGCCTGCTCCTAGTTGCTCTTCTGATCAAGACTGTAGCGATCAAGAATCTTGTGTCAATAGAATTTGCCGAAACCCATGTAATTGTGGAGAAAATGCAGAATGTTTCATTCGTGACCACCGCCCAGTGTGTTCTTGTAGAGATGGATTCGATGGAGATCCGTATCGAGTTTGTCGAATAGTAGGATGCCGTACTGATTCAGAATGCGAATCTAATGAAGCTTGTGTCAATGGGAACTGCATCAGCCCATGCTTATTGAACAGCACGTGTGGAGCAAATGCAGATTGTCTTGTTGAAAGGAATCGACCGTTGTGTCGCTGTCGAAATGGATTTGAGGGCGATGCACGAGTGGGATGTAACCCTATTGAATGTAGAACAAATAGTGACTGTCCATTAGATAAACAGTGTCACGCTCATAGGTGTATTAATCCTTGTCTGTCTGGTAACACATGCGGTAGAAATGCCAAGTGTCTTGTTCCAAACCACATCGCAGTTTGTAAGTGTGACATTGGATACATCGGAAGTCCCTATGTAGAGTGTCGCCCAGAAACTATCGCTGAATGTTATGTCGACGCAGACTGTCCACCAAAATCTGCATGCCTTTCTTCAAGATGTGTTAACCCTTGTACGGCTCTTCATCCATGCTCTACACCCGCACGTTGTGAAGTTTCACCGACTTTACCCGTCAGGACTATGATCTGTACCTGCCCACCAGGATATGTCAGCAACGGTGGAGGCATCTGTCGTCCAGCAACACCAATATCTGACGTCGTCTGTGAAATTGATACGGATTGCACTTCAAATCACGCCTGTATAACATCTATCTGTAAAAACCCATGTGATTGTGGTCCGAACACTGACTGCCTAATCAAAGAACATAAGCCAGTATGCGCTTGTAGACCAGGGTATATAGGTGACGCAAGAACAGGTTGCTACAAAGTTTTATGCCGTTCGGACTCACAATGCTCAGATGACGAATCCTGTATCAACAACCGATGTGTGCCAGCGTGCTCCGTTGAACCAGACGTTTGTGGATCTTTAGCAGAATGCTACGGGCTCGAACATCGGGCTGCATGTCGCTGTAAGATTGGTACTACAGGTAACCCCACAATAGGCTGCACACCTATTGGCTGTCGTGCTGATAGTGACTGTCCTTTGGATAGATCGTGCATAAACACGAAATGCGTAAACCCATGCAATACCACTAATTGCCGCGAACCGGCTGAATGCCGCGTTCATCTTCATGAGGCACATTGCGTATGTCCACCTGGTTACCGAAGTACTGAGACCAACTGCGAGAAGATCGACTTACCACAATGCGTATCCGATGTCGAATGCCCGTCCGGTACCGTCTGCTTAAATGCCGAATGCGTTAACCCTTGCCAGACCACCAAACCATGCGGTACCAACGCAGAATGCACTGTCGTCGATACGCTGCCGGTCCGAACCATGATTTGCGAATGCATACCTGGATATAGGGGTAACGCCCTAGTCGAATGCACACCTAATATCAGTAAGTGTTAGAAAATTTTGTATTGCATGTGAGGTATTGTTAGTTAGAGTATAATTGCTAATGTAAATTTATTATTTTAGCACCATCGGCTGCCTGCGTGGAAGGTCAAGGCCTTAATGCTCTTGGTGAATGTGCTCCATGCCGCGCGGACGAAGGACGAACAGTCGATTCTCGTGGCCGATGTGTTTGCGACACGGAGAACGGATGGGCGGCGCGCGGCGGTGTCTGCGTGCGCGTTGTGTGTTCCGCAGACCGAGAATGCGACGACCGCGAGCGCTGTATCAACGGCGTCTGCATCGACGCCTGCGAAGCGGAACCATGCGGGCAGAATGCCATCTGCAACGCCTACGATCACCGATCACACTGCACCTGTACGAAAGGCTACACCGGCAACCCACGTGTTCTGTGCAATGAAACCACAATGCCGAACGTGACTTATCGAACAGATTTCCCTCTGCCAGAAATGCAGGTAAGCACTGAAACCACCTTCGATCTGTCATTGACAATACCATAATATTTCAGTCTATTCTGTATTAATGCATATATCTGTCACAGGTTAACTGTTTGGCAAACGGCATACGAGTAAGTCTCAAAATAAAGGAAGGATTTAATGGACTGTTATACGTAAAAGGCTATAGCAAAGACGAACGCTGCGGACTGGTGGTAAACACACCTGTGAACCAAGAGAGCCCGGTGGACTTCACTGTTCACTTTGGCAACTGTGGCCTTGTGCACGTCAATGTAAGTTATTTTGTTGGAAGTAAATATGAAATAATTAATTTTGAAAGATAATGTATTAACTATGTTACTAACATTTATATTATTTTTAGGGTTTAGCAAGCTTCGTCTTAGTGATGCAAGATCATCTCAAACTAGTAACATCGAATGCTAAAGCCTTCCACATAAAATGTATCTATCAAACCGGCGAGAAGAACGTGACTCTGGCGTTTAATGTGTCGATGCTAACAACAGCAGGCACTATTGCTAACACTGGACCACCACCTGTCTGCTCCATGAGGATCGTCACTCGAACCGGAGACGAAGTCAACTCTGCTACTGTCGGAGAGAACCTAACGTTACAAGTCGACGTTCAGCCAAGCAGTAAGTATTTTAGAGATAAATGAAAGAGCACGCTACACTAATTTTAAACTTTGAAAATATTAACAAAAAAATAATTCTTCAGGTATATACGGTGGATTTGCTAGAAGCTGCATCGCGAAGACCAGTGAAGTGGCTACGAATGTCGAGAATGAATACACTGTGACCGATGCGGACGGGTGCGCCACCGACCCGTCCATATTCGGCGAGTGGGAGCACAATGATGATGGAACTCTGAAAGTTCTGTTCAACGCTTTCAAGTTCCCAAGTAGCGATAATATCAGATTCCAGTGCAACATTAGGATATGCTTTGGAAAATGCCAACCGGTCAGTATTCTAATTCCATAACAGAGTCACTATTGACAGATAAGATTTATTAAATCTTATCATTTTCGCTATGTAGAGTGACACGTATTGTATTGTTTATTTATTATCTCAATTAACTTTTTGTTATTGAGTTTGACTGAAGATTGTTTTCACGTCTGAATAGGTGAACTGTCGCGGCCGAGACGCGTACGGTAAACGAAGAAAACGAGAAACACGATACTACAACGAAGGCCCTCTGTCGGGCGTCGAGGGCCAAATGCGAGAGGAGGTGACGGTGGAGTCGAACCAGATCTTGACAATCGAGCGGCGCTCGGCGTCGCGCGCGGCCCGCCAGCGCGAGGGCGGCGCAGGCGCCGGAGGAAACAACGGCGGCGAGGTTTGTTATACTTACAACAATGTACAGTCATAATGATACCAATTAAAGAGGAAGTTCAGATGGATTTTGGCCTTCAATGACTAAAATAAAACCCAGGAGCTCTGGATCAGAATCATCTCTGTAACCAGTAGATCATAGAGCAAACGGGGGCATATTATATACTAGTAGCAATAACTTTGTATTCAGAATCATTATAATACTTGTAGGTATTAGCTACGAGTACACCACAAAAATTCGAATTTCAGACCGATAACTTCCGCGAGTTATCGAGACCAAACTAATCGATTCGTCTCAATCCATTAGAGTTTTATCTCGACATTGTACGCTTACTCACAAGACACTTGACATTGCAGGTATGCGTGTCCGCCGCCGGGCTGGCCGTGGCGCTCGCGCTCACGGCGCTGCTGGCCCTGGTGGCCGTGGCGGCAGCGGTGGCGTGCTGGCTGGTGGCGTGGCGCCGCGCGCGCCCGCCGCCCGCGCCCCTGCCGCACCCCCCGGACTTCCCCAACCCGCTGTTCCAGCGCTGAAGCCCGCTAGTCCCGCGCCCCACTCCTCCGCCGGCGCCGGGCGGTGTCGGCTCTTTCTTCTCACTAGTGTTGCCAGATGATGCAATTTACGCGGGACGACCCGTTTATTAGGGGTTTCAAAAACGCCTAATGTCCCGATTATAAGACTATGCGCCTTTAGCTGTTTATTTGTACAATTTATTTTTAACCACTGACCCCGATTTACTGCGAATTGGGTCTGGCAACGCTACTACTCACTCACTCATCTGTGCGCGCCGCCGGAGGACCCCGGGCGAGGGCGCCGCGAGCGCCGCGCTATCCGCGCCCCTCGCTCGCGCTCGCCGCGCCCTCTTTTAGTTTTACGTCTATATTAATTTATATTTAAATTTAAATATCTTATTAACGTGGAATCGTCGCCTCCTTCGAATTTTGTGATATTCATAATATAAATATTCGAAATCATCGTAATGTTATGTAAAATAATACTGATTTATATTGTAGGTTTTAAGTGAAATAATAATGACGATATTAATAATAATTACATGTTTATTTATTTGTGGATCCTATCTACTTACCTCCCATCCTCCTTTAAAGGCTATACAATGTGTACGGGAAAGTGAACAAAATTTAAAGGCGTAATCTATGGGCAATTTTATCAATGAAAATACTTCAAATCTTTTCATCTACTCACTATAAATTACCTGGCCTGAAGATTCTCCATTGATCTCTAATGAGGGCTAATACATCTCTAGCCGTCTGTCATGGGCTATAAATACAGGGTGTGGTTTTGTAAAACAACGCCCATCTCAGGGGTGGTAGTAGTATACACGACACTGCTGCACTGATGCCAAAAATATAAAAAAACATATTTCCAAGTTTCATGGAAAATTCCATAATTAAGGAAAATGGTATTATCACGCGGGCGAGCTAGCGGTCAGTCTTCCTGGTCTTCCGGGGCGGTGGCCGCATGTGCTCGATGGTGTAGCGGGGTAAGCGGGGGTGGTGCGGGCGGTAACAAGCGCCGTCTAGAAAGTTTTAGGAGATGTTTGAACAAGGTTTTTTACTAATAAAGTAATTAGATTACATTATGTTTTTCTTGTAATTACTTTCATGTGTACTACCCCTGAGATAGGCGTTGTTTTACAAAACCACACCTTGTATAATGCTGTAAAGATGATTCTGATTTTCAAAATAACTTTATAAAATTGTCGCAAAAAATATATTCTATAAACTTCACGAGATGATGATCATCTATCTATGAATAGCTTCAGTCAGACATTGTGTGATGATTCCAAGATGTTTTTACGCATTTAGGTAAGCCTCACGTGTTTCGCCCACTTCCATATTGATTTGGCGTTTTTAAACCTCATCTATGATGTTGATTCTTGCTGAGTGTATGGTGTTAACTGTTGAATAACGATGTCTTCCAACCAAATCCAAGTTCAATAAAATATTTCGCACACTCTTTGGTCACATAAAGAGGATCTAATTTAATTATGGACGTTCAAAATAGATATCCTGGTGACAAACGTCACCAACAAAAGTTATTATGAATGCTCTTGCAAATCGCAAGTGATAATGACTGGGGAACGAATAGGAAATTAGCAATTGTGCGGAGGCGCGGCCGAAGGCTGATCATGAGCACTCAGTTTTCTCAACTCAGTTTGATGTGTGGCCCTTGACTGGTGCCAATCACAGTTCGGTTGGGAAATCGGTAACATGTCACGCGGGTTGATACCTTCGCCAAAGAAAAAATATAATCCAATATGGTAAGTTTTTTAATTCAAAATTTTTATCTTACATTTTTTAAAGTGCAAAATGTGCCTGATTGACGAATACTATGGGTTTTTGGACCAAAATTTATTCCCAAAGCAATTAAAAATGTTAATTTAAAGTTTCAAATTTCCAACAAACAACAACGTTACTGGCACTTACTAAGGGTATTCACCGATTTTCCATCACGGTACAATGGATTTGCCAGCTGCTGTTGTGTGGTGTTTTTTTTTTTTAATTTTGCAAACATTTAATTAATCACACTACTAAACCTAATGTTGTTATTCGTCAAGACTTTTAACCATAGTAACTTCTGCGACTTTTCTCTCAAAAAACGTTTAAATACACTTTTTATTATAAAAATATGCATAACCTACCACATACATAGAACGAGAACTATTTAAAAATATTTTGATTTAAATTTTCTTTTCATTAAAACTTCAAGAATTAAGCTTTCTTGAACGACTTTTAGTATGTAGTTACAGAATAGATGTGGTGGCAGGCCTTTGTTCAAACGATCATTGCAAACGTTGTGATAGGGATAGAGACATGAGATTTATGGTACCATAGCAAAGGTAATACGATAGAGAATAACACAAAGTAATAAAAAACACCTGTTATAGGGTCATTTTTTGGAGTTATCAAATAACCAAAAAAACACGAATTTAAATGCAGATTTTTTTAAGTAACATTTTTTAATAAAAAAAAATACATAAAATACCCAGAAAATTTTGGCATTTTCTGGGTATTTTATGTATTTTTTTAATATCGCCTGTTATTAAGCATTATTACTGTTTTTATTTTATCAGGATATACCTCTTAGTTTAAAAGTTATTACGTTTTCTTTACATATACATAATAATAAAAGAAAGAAAAAAAACATCATTTCACATATGCACTTTATCAAGACTCACACTGTATTGTAGCTGATACTTCCTGATTTCTATTGTATTAGATCCTGTGTCAGACGACAATTTACAAAAAAAAATTGTTGAAAACTTATCCATTCCTGCATTGAGGATCTATTCTGCAAAACTACTTACCTATCGACTCTATCCTAGCTAATAACGATTGGGAATTTACTGTAAATTATTTCTAGATCGCTCACTACATTCGAACAAAGATTTTATAATGACACCCATGTAAAATAATGATATCCGCAGCGATATTGTCGAGTACAGCAGTTTGTCATAATGACTGGTTTAACCCTGAAAAACGCAGGCGCAACGCTACGTAACGCGGCCACGACAGCGCATGCGCGGCCCTCCGCCCTCCCCCCTTCCTGCTGCTCCCCACTACTAGAATCGCACTTTGTTTACCAATTACTGCGATTGACGAATCAGTCTGCCGGCCATCTAAACCGCCGTCGCTCGCAAGCGCCGGTTTTTATTGCGAGTCGCGCGTCGCCATCGACGCACGCGGCTACAGTCACCGCGACATGACACTGTGACGTGATAATATGAGTAGAGCCGAAGTGTCGGCGGAAGCCGCCGCGCCCAGCGTGGCGATCCACGTGGATCAGTATGAGGATCAAGCAGAAGAGAACTCAAAGCTTCTTGACCTGCACGCGCCAACGCCGATCGTAACGCCCTCTGGACAAATGCGCAAAGTCAAGAGCTTCACAGATACACACAGAATCCGCGATGTGAGTGCTGCTTCTGGTGCTGCTTCAGCCCGCTGTCTGCGGCCATATGACCAAGTGAATATTTATCCTGAAGGCTCTGATAGTGGCACGCAATATGGTGCTCAATCTGTTCGATCTCTCGCCTCGATCGGGATGGGATGCACAGACGGACGAAAAATGGTTATTAAACGGGTACCAACATCGCCTACGGAACTGTTCCATCTAGTACGTCCTCCTACGTGAGTATCTCCGCGAGTGAGACATCCTCTGGGTTGCTCTATTATTCAATTGGTTTAACTGTCATCTTTGTCTTCGTATCCTACACCCATTGTAAGGTTCAAGAGACTTGACTTTGGTCTAAACAGACAAATATTACAGGGCTTTAAGTAGAAAACTTTTTCATTTATTCAATCGTGTGCAGAATAAACTTACTAAACGATTTTAAAGGTTATCAGGCTACACAGATCGTTTAAACTATGCATCTCAATTAGAACATCAGCCTATGTTTATTTAAATGGAGAAAGTTTGTACAAATTTGGAAGTTGCGGCTCTCATTAGTTTGTCTATAGTAAAACTCTAGATTCTAATATTTTGAGAGAAATATCTACAAAGACTTATTTAGCTTTTGTGCCTGACATATGGTCTATGTAAGTAAACTAATAAAACATCAAATGATAATTTCAAACAATAAATGGATATGTTGCAAATTTAATGTATGCAACAATGTTGTTAATAAAGTAAATTGTAATTACTTTGATACATAAAATGTATTTCAATGTCTAGATGGGTATTTATTTTAAGATTTAAAATAAGTCTTTAGATAACTTTCATTTGTATTGTAGATGAACAACGGCATAAAAATAGATTATTCATACATTAACCTTGTTCTTATCTTCACTCACTAACTAGGGAAATTAATTATGACATGGACGTGTGTGTGTACAATGCTAAATTTATTAATATTGTAGTTTGATCGAGACAAGGATTTCAAAATTTCACGTAGCAAAGTTGAGAATCATTTACTTTCAACCTAACAATACAAGCTAAGACGATATCATTAAAGAAACTAGATTGGATATGGCCTTCTCTTGACTCTTATTGCAGATCCTTTTAGTGTAAAAATTTAAAAGTATAACTTTCAAATAAGTTGATATGTATACTAATAAATTATTAGGTACTTGTCAAATTACATTTTCGTAAAGTCTTACACATAAACATAAAACAGTTATAAAATAATTTTGTTCTCCCTTGCTTTTGGGCCTCTGTCCCTGTTGCATGTTTCGAAAAATAGACGGCACCAAGGTTCATTGTTCATAAACTTTCGTAATTCATTTATGGGAAAGTACGAGTATCGTTCGTTCGTTCGTTTCAGCCGTAAGACGTCCACTGCTGGACAAAGGCCTCCCCCAAGGATTTCCACAAAGACCGGTCTTGCGCCGCTTGCATCCAGGTACCTCCCGCGACCTTCACCAGATCGTCGGTCCACCTAGTGGGAGGCCTGCCCACGCTACGTCTACGAAGTGCGAGTATATTAATACATAATGCTATAATCTTGTAAACTTATCAAAAAAGAAACTGACTGAGAATCTTGCTCTGTGTATTATAAGAAAACCTAAAATATCCTGAAAATCTAGCAGATTTTGTGTTTAAGTTAAACTTGAGCGTGTAATAGAGCTTTTAGACTGAAAAAAAGAATTTCATTAATGTTTAAGTATTTCATGAAAACATTAAATTGCAGTGTAAGTATAACTACAATATTAATTTCAGGATTTTACAACTTCCTGTTGTTTCAAATCTAAGGCTCTGGTCTGACGAAAACAGCATAATTTTAAACTAAATCAGTGGTCACAGTTAGTTATAATTAGTGAGTTATAATCCTATTGAAATGTTACGACTTTTGTCCTTCGTTATTGGTGGAATCTCTAAGTTAGATTTTTTAACAAGAACAAACGGAAAATCGTCAAACTCTAATCGCTTTCTGAAAGAACTTTTATAGAGACAATTTTAAATATATATTTAGACATCGTAAACCAAGTTATTATTTTTTAAGAGTTAATGTAATTACAAGCAGGATTAATAAGTATAAAATTTATTTTATTTTCCTGTAGAGCTTGTTGTAAACAATATACATAACATAATGTATGTAAGTACTAGATTGTTGTATAATGTTCAGGGGGCAGGTCTACCGGACCGACATAATCTGTCACTCACTTTTGATGAATAATATAAATAGCCGATAAGGCATTAATTACTGTCAATGAATTATACCTACTTATGTTTAGGTAGTAACATTTCACATATTTTATTCAACAATAACAATGATTAGCAGTGAAGTCCATTGACTGTACCATAATTAAATTTGTTAATTTGAAATAAAATTACGATTCTATTAAATATGACTCTACCTACATAAGTATTCAGGGAATTATGTTTGAATCATAGATATATATTTTATGAAAAGATAATAATTCAGGCAATAGGTATTATCGATTTTCTTTAGCACGAATAGGTTGTCCGAATTGGCGCCTACATTTATCAAAACACCCAAACCTACTGCACGGCGAAGAACTGATTATTTTATTAATAATAAAAATATTCTTTTCATACACGATACATCTGTATCCAAGGTTATAAATGTTTACGGTCGAGTAGCTTAAAATATATAAATAATAATTCCGTTTGTCTACATTGGCTTAGTGCGGTAATGCATTGGGTATTTAGATAAATTTACAACGCATATTACACAATGATTTTAAAAATGACGTACCAGCTGAAACTGGTTAATATTCAAGTAATTTTTGTAATAACAAAATGTGAAATTTGATCTGTCTTTCTCTTGAAAAAAAAACATACGTAAAGATCTCTACATTATGTGTCATTATCATTAGCTCTGCGTTTACATATTTATGATGGCTAAACTCTCAGTCACATTTTTCTTTTTTTAACTCTTGTACAGGTTATTCGTATAGGTAAAAGGTATTTCAGATGTTTAACAACGTAGCGATAAACATTCCTAAAAATATTATCAAGACGAAGACTAAAATCTAGATCCTAGTGCGCTAACTAGCTAGAAACAATAGAAAAATGACAGTAACAGCACCTAATCAAATAATTAGGCTATTTAGATGGATAAAATTGACACAGGGCTATAAGAATATACAAAGAGAGAGAGATGGACTGATGTAGAGTTAGGAAATTCGACAAATTAGGACGGATCCGATACATATAAAATGCGAAATGTTTTCTCCTGCTATTTTGTTTTTATTTTCATAAGTTTTTTCTGTCATTGTTAATTGACGTAAGAGTGTTGTCATTCGGCTCTATGCGTCCTTTTGGCCAATTTCAATTTTAACAACTACAAATTTTGTTAACATGTTAGACGCAAATAGTCTTTTAACAGCGTCCACTTCAGAATATGACCATTGTTCTCTCAAAGTTACGTCATTCTTCTCTCAAGTTCATTACTGAAATATTTTTACTTCTAAGGAAGTCATTACAGGATTTGTCAATTTCATCAAAATAAATGTAAACAATTTATTGTGTTGTTTTTACTGTATCTTTAAAATAAAGTAAAGATGTTATCTGTTAGATACGATATCGTCAAGTGCTATTAATTATCGGCAATCCTTAGTAGACCATTGATAAAGTTCATTAGGAAACGTTTTTGTTCATCTACCTGTTTAATTTAGGCCTTTAATATTATGATTGATATTGAAAATAGTCAATATTTAAAATAAAATCACCTCACACCACATAATTTTTTTTAAAAGATTAGCTATAATAATTACTGAAGTGATGCAATAATTTTTATAGCTAATCTTTTAGAATACATTTAAAAATAACTGCCTAATGTCATCATTTTTATACTGAGCTGTAGTGAATTCCTGTTTGAGTTGTAAGTATTGACTAGACCAGGTACTAAAGCAAGTTTTTCAGTTTCCAAAAACAATTTACTTTATCAACATCGTGTACCTAATGTTTATCTATTTTTGTTTTAAAGGATTTTACCTACTGTAATCGCTTGATCTGAATTCAGTAGCATTCATTCATTTGTTGACACGCAATCAACAATTTGCACAATAATACATCAATTTAAACTGACACAGCTTACGATTGATGAATTGATTTATAGTACAAGACTACGGGAGAAAAATATAAGAGAATGACAAAAATAAATTTAATTTAAATCCTTCCTGTATAAATTTATTACTTTTGAAAATAGAAGCAAATAACGTTGATGAAACGCATTACAGATCAATATTAATAACCTCCTGAAATATAACACCATGCATAAAAAGCTAATTAAAATTTTATATTGGCAACGGATGTGCAATTTTAAAAGTATTCATGGGTTTATAAATTAAATGAGAAAATCCTAACAGTTTTACAGAAGAGGTATGTAATTTTACCTGCCACATTTTCTAGAACATTTACGACATTGCTTGTAGCATGAAAACAATGATAAATGTATTAATACACGGAAAAATTAAACAATAGGGAAGTTCAAATTTAATGCACGACCCATTATAATAAAAAATAAAGATGTTATCTCGATTTATTACCAGCAAGCGTAGCAAAATTATTTGTTGTTACTAAACATGAGGACATTTTAGCGTTACGAGGGATTTATCACTGTGCGTCAAATGCCGGTAAAATTTTGACAGAATATGAGGCTATCCAAAATCCTATAAGACCACAAGGATTAGAGGGAGTCTTGGCCGTATGACCTTCAAGACAGGAGCTGATAAGACTGCAACACTATCTATTCTCACATATCTCTCATACGATGACGCGTATACGATTGATCATCCGCCGGCCTTATCACTGCCTACTTGATAATAATGATTTTAAAACGTTTACCAACCTATACATAGTGACAGCTGACATTATAATATTGGTTTGATTTGAATGTCAAATAAGTATTGCATGCGCAGTGAATTTAACATACACTTAAAATTTTGTTAGGTCATAATAATCAATTTACACTAATAACTAATGCCGAAAGATAAGCAATTGCATATGCATGATAAGAACCAATGCTAGTAATTATAATTATCCATGGTGTAACGTTTATACACTCGCGAGCAAAACTATGGAATCACTTACATGTAATTGTTTCCACGCGATCTTGTGTACTAACTAATTTGTTAGTAACAATAAAAGTGGTACCATTTAAAAGATTAAACTTTTAACTTTAATGATACCAAATTCATTTAAATCACATAGGTATTTAAAAAGATATACCGGCTGATGTGAAGAAGTAAGGAAAAAGACGAGTATCAACTGTTTGATACGTCGCGAGTTACGGCCTATTTACCCCCAATAAAAGCACTTGTTTTCGGATTTTTGCTTTCACACGTTGATCCATACACATCTCCGCTTCTTTTGACACTTTACCTGGGATTCTACACCTACAGAAGCAGCACAAATCGTTGCACTATTGCAAGAAGGGCTCAGCCAGCGGGCTGTCGCACGTCAGCGCCACATAAGCCAGTCCTTGGTTTCGAAAGTTTTGAGACGCTTTTGGGAGAGATGGGTGGCTTTATCCCGATACCAAGATCTGATCAGCACCGGTGCACATCGCAGAGGGATGACCGTTTTTTCATGTCAACCTCTCTACGAAATCGTCATTTGACTGGTATCGACGTCCAGAAAGAGCTCAGAAATGTTCGTGGGATAGCTGTTAGCAAGTGGACAGTTTGTCTAAGACATAAGCAATCGAATTTGATTCCAAAAAGACTTGCCACAGGCTCGAAACTGACGGCAGGTCACCGACAAGCACGCTTTAAATTTGCTGGTGCCACTTTTATTGTTACTAACAAATTAGTTAGTACACAAGATCGCGTGGAAACAATTTCATGCAAGTGATTCCATACTTTTGCTCGCGAGTGTAGAATTGTAAAATAATGATGCCCAATAAATCTAAATAACCTACAAATTATCGAATACGTTGGTCTCAATGGCTATTTTCGTAACAGTGCTATATTGCTCACGTGTGCGTATGAAAAAGCAGGTAAAGCCGTTAAGCTGTATGACGTCACAATAACTGCCATCATTGTAGGTCATCTATCTCTAATTCAAACAACTCACAGTTATCAAGGTTATGTTGGGGTTTTGGCGGAATTTTATCGCTTAAAACCCTTTTGAGGCAATCAACATACATGAATATTTACGTTGAAGGGCTTCAGTAATGTGCTTGCCAGTGGAAAAAGGAGAATGCCAATTCTGGTACCCATCTACCCGCCTCCAATGGCTTTCATCGCACACAGAAAAACTATTCTAAAAATCTTGCCGATTTTATCCAGAATTTTATATTCTTGTAAAACGTCTTAAATTATTTTTACAATCAGTCTATTTTTCAAAACGTTTGTTGTTGACCGGCATCATCTTCATATCAACCCTGTGTTATTTTGATCAGATGAAATATCAGAAAAAGTCAATCGTGATTTCTTGTCTCACAATCATTTCATTATTTTATCTATCTATTCTGTGCCCAAGGTACCTACTTCGTCTGGCATCATCTTGTTAGCGGCTGTTCCCATTTTTCATTGCCCTTACTTGCACTTACTCTACATCCATCCGTCCGTACCTTACGGATATGAGAAAATGAGGTTCAATTAATGAAATGAATCAAATGAGTTGTCGGAGATCTTTAAAAATGCGATAAATTCTCCCTGCCCTTTTATCTCGTATAATGTCTTCCCGGTTACTTATATGGCGAACTTAAAACTTCCTTGTATTTCATCGTGTTTATGTAGGTATTTATTATTATGGGAAAAGTAAAAGTTCTGCATGGCATGATTTTGTGGCATTGACTACTTTTATTATCTTTTTATACGAGTATCTTACATTTCTTACTAAATAAATAACATGACATTTCATACGAAACCCATCGTAAACATTTTCTTAGTTATCAGAGACATTTAAAATCCCACACGTTAATTTTTACAAATATTAGCTGTAGGTATGTACATTTTATTATTCAGTAAACTTATGTCTATAGAAACAATAAAAATAGTAATTTCCACAATTAAGATTAGTCTCTATCTATTTTAATATTATAAATGCTAAAATAACTTTGTCTTTTATATTTTCACAACTTTAAAGATATGGAAACGCATATTGATTCTAAAAAGAAAAGGTGTTTTCAGTATTTTATTTTTATAACTATTTTTAAGCTTTCATCGTATGGAGACAATTTCTACGTTTATTTGTATATTAATTTCTTTAAAATTGCCTTTGGTCGCGTAAACCGCTGAACAGAATTTGATGATACTGGTATACTTAGTATGAAGATAAATTAAAAAACAGGCAAATGGCCGCAAATAAACAACACAGACAAAGTCGCGAGAACCATATAGTTAGATCATAATAAGAATTGCAGTAATTAACTTCACTTTGGATTAGCTCGCAAATCTTATAATATGTACTCTTACTTTAACAATAAAACGGCTTTATAGTGGACTTAAATTTTATAGTAAGTAATTATCTAAATCTCAAACAATAATTCACTAACAACAGTCCAACTGATAAAGATACTTACAGAAGATCTTTGACATTTTATTCTGATCAGTCCCGTGTGCAGTGCGCGTTGCATCGATATTATAAAATTCAGAAAACCTAATCGAACCAGTGCTGCAGTGTCTTACGTACTCATTTTAGAATGAATGATGCGCTTTACAATAATTTTACGTGCGTACTTTTTTTTATTTATAATCTAAATAAGTAATATTTTTTTACGATTAACTTATAATCTCTAAACATAAGTACGGTTGCGAAGCGATTTGTTTTTTTCTATTATTCGAGAGAGTTTTTATATCTTTCAAATCATCTGTGATCGATGTTTGTGATCGATATATGCCGAAAAAGATTGAATGGGGAGATAGAGAAAGCACTGACATGACGATCCATTCGAGTGTTTGTGCTGTTGCAACCAGATTGCAACACAGATTATATTAAAGAACCGTTTTCAGGTTTCTTCCCTTGAACGTATGTAGAACAAACCTATTCATAGAAAGTTCACCTTTATTCGAAAATTCAGTTTTCTAGACTTTGTAAATACTTACAGGCACATATTGCGAAAATACAGAATACAGAATATTAAAAAAAACTACTGAAAAAATGCTGAAATACCACTATCGCCATAACTAATGGTTTTATTTTAGCTCTCCAAAAAAAAAATACAATTTTATGATATCGTTACGAATATACTTAAATACAATACCTATCTGAACACGTGTACTATGCCGATTAATCATAATTATTATGGAATTTACTTAGTCAATAAAACGTTTTTTATCTAAATATATAAAAGGAGAAACTGACTGACTGACTGACAGATCAACGCACAGCCTAAACGGCTAAACGTAGGCACTTGAAATTTGGAAGGGACGTAGCTTAGGTACCGTAGAGGTGCACTAAGAAAGGAATTCCCGAAATTCCCACGGGAACGGGAATTAGCGGGAAAAACGGGATTCACGCGTACGAAGTCGCGGGCGGCCGCTAGTTAAGATATAAAAACGCTTTCACGTTTTTTTTACCCGAGTACGCCAGATGGAAAGTTATGTTTTTCGAGTGTATGTATGTATACAGGTAAATTAATGTAAAACTTTTTCATTTACAGGCCTCCCGATGAGGATACGGCTTCACATGAGAGCTGCGAAGAAGAAGAGGAAGAAGCCGACCACCACCTAAAGCCACGCCGACCGTTTTGGGCCAACAAAATCCAATTCGTGCTGGCTTGTGTTGGCTACTCGGTGGGACTGGGAAATGTTTGGCGATTTCCTTATCTGTGTTACAAAAGTGGCGGAGGTGAGTAACCGTACTAGACTGAATTTCCGGACATTATTCATTGAAATTTGTACAGTTATTTTTCTTCCAAATTGTCTCTTTATTTCCGAAAAATTCTAATGAGTCTGGCGACACTTCAAACCATTATTTGTACATCATAAAGTACGAAGATTCATAAGATTAGTCTTGTATGTAATGTGAGTCAATGTCATTTAAAGTCAATTTGTCTCAAAGAAAAATGTTTGGCCTTTGCAAAGTATATTAGACCATAAACTGTGTAATATTTGTAACTATAGAAACCGCACCAGCTGGTTAAAGTGGGATACTCATAAATTAGTTGGTCATGTCGTAGTCCTTTCCTTTCGCAATGTTTAATGTTTAGCTTACCGCCGATTAGACAGTTTTATACGGGTAGGGCAAAGGTGTTTAAATAATTAACGAGGATTCGCTGGCGGCACATTTAACCTTTTTTTGTATATCTGTTACAGGAAATGTATGAAATCCGCCATTGTATACAATTCCTAGGAATTGTGTATAAGTCCTAAAATCACCCGGAAATGTGTGATGTAAATTATATTAGACACATTTCCTAGGAAAATTACACATTTCCTAAATGGCAATCGGAAATGTAATTAAGATTTCAATAAATACGCGTGGACATGCGGTGCAAGGGGAGGATATTGCATCATCCGATTACGCGGGGTCTCTATCGAATCGCCAATTTTTTTGTACGCCTAGTTGTCTATGGCACACAAATTTTAAGCCTAAATTTTTTAAACAAAATTATTTTATTTACGCCACTTTTTTTCTCCGAAACTTAAATGGCGCTACCGCCGCGGCAGCTGTGTATGTGTAAGGTCGCAAGTCTAACCTAACCTAACCGAGACTTTGTTATCCAGCTACAGGAGTACTAAAACCTTCATGCCAATAATAAATTAAGAGATGTTAAAATTAGGGATTTCCAATACTTCAGCGTATTATGCGTAATGCCGAAAGAAAGGTATGCCAATAAATTTTAGGCAATTATTTTTTTCGGCCAAAGTATAATAGTGCGAAAACAACTGTCAGGCTAAACAATATTTATAATAATTGTGAGTTAAAAGTACCTATCGGCCAATATGGTTTGGCTAAATGAAATTTCAGGCGTACCGAGGGGCACCCGATCACGCGACCGCGCTTTTGCCGCTTAGTTTTATACATTTCTTAATACAATATTGGAATTCTATAAAATTCCTAGGAAAAGTATACATTTCCTAGGATATGTGCGTATTGTGCGTGGTATTAAAAAATCTCTGAAGCAATATTTTATACATTTCCTAAATAGCTTCGTAATTGTATACATTTCCAAGGAATAGTATACAATTCCTAGAATTCATAAATTTTATTTTATTTTATTTATTACGGTATACCAACAACATTACATTTCCTGTAACATATCTAATAAAAGACAAAAACGTGACATTCTTTCCGAACTCCAAGAGCAATGGTATAATTTTTTTCGAGTAATTTGAATTCACTTACCCTCTTGACACACTTGGCACGATTTTGATGAGCAGTGTCACCGAACTTATACTTGTTTATATTAATACATAAAACAACTACAAGCCACTATGAATTAAACAATTAAGAATGACCAGCTAAGTTATTTTCCATCGAATCCAGGTCGTAGGTATATAAGACAATTACAAACTTTAGCGTCTAGGTTTCCTTTTGCAAATAAAGTTTGTCTAGAAGTATAATGTAAAAGTTAAAAACGTTACTTTAAAAATCAACTTACTTCTATCTGATGAGGACAGCCCACATTCTAACAGCATTCATTTCTGGAAAAAAATGTATCACTCTTAAAATATTTGTTTAAAAGAGACACCATAAACAACTTCTTTACCGGCTTAAAATTTTAGGGCTAGCTATATTATATTCGATATCGAATATTATATGATAAAATTATGAGTATTGTCGGAACTCTACACACCTTTTTTTTCGCGTGGGGTTATAAAATGTATGACGTATCAATATTATTGTACGGAGCCGACTGCTTCACGCCTGTGTCTCTTCTATCAGTGTAATTTGTCTCATTAAGGCGACAAAAAAGATCGTGCTCTCCGTGGCATTGTGTGGGAACGACAAAAATATAATATGTAACTGGGCACCGCAGCTAACTGGGTGTGATGAACAAATCCACACCTTTTAATAATAAATAATTACATACGCACGACCCGATTGTAATCATAAATTCACGTGTTATTGATAAAATCTGTTAACAGTCTATGACATTATTATAAGAATCGTGATAAAATTATTAGCGCTCATTAAAATTTTGAGTGACTGCTATCCGGAAAATAACTGCGAAAAGATTCTTCGACCCAGAATCAATTTCGCATTATATTTCGTTGGGTATCCCTAATGCGGAAAATCCTTTATTCATTTTGATATTCTATTTTTTCAATGTAGATTTTTGTTTTAATCTAAGTGACTCTACTTATAGACTAAGAGCTGGTGAACGCCAGACCTACGTCATTTTATAAAAGCTGAAAGTTTGTCAGCGTATGCTCCCAAATATAGGAAATTATTATGTTGGTGAATTATGAAGTTTGGGTCATGGTGGCTTTGGGAGCTACCCTAAAAAAACGGTCTGGCAAGGAGTTGGAACTGTCAAAACTGTCTGGCTGGTGGGGAAAATACTTCTAATTATTGCCCAAATATTATACATAAAATTCAGATTTTATAGTATAACGTAAGTCTAACTTTTACGGTGGCTTTTTCTGTATATTCAATAGACTGTAATTTTACTATCGTTATACACCATTAAATCTGATTTTTATGTATAATATTTGGACAATAATTAGAAGTATTTTCCCCAACAGCCAGACAGTTTTGACAGTTCCAACTCCTTGCCAGACAGTTTTTTTTAGGGTAGCTCCCAAAGCCACCACGACCCAAACTTCATAATTCACCAACATTATATCCTATATTGGGAGCATACGCTGACAAACTTTCAGCTTTTATAAAATGACGTAGGTCTGGCGTTCACTAGCTCTTAGTCTATTAGGAACGTAATATGTTTCTCCTAAGAGCGTGAGTCTTTTTTATTCATCAGACCTGTCTTAATTTATGACGATTTACAAAACGCTGCCAGTACGATTATTTTCTCATAAATTGGTATAGTACTTAGGTAATAAATAATCTACATATTTTGCGGATTATTAACTTGCATTACCAGAAGATAATTCGGTCAAGAATCAGCTAGGTATACATTTTTACCTGCATTTCTTTAAAGATTTTTTTATATTCTCGATTCCTAAGTAAGTAGGTACAACTAAATTAGGTAGAAAAAGTTATTTAATAAACGCGTAAAGCGTAAAAATTAAAAAAGTTGATGTCAATACTTTGTTATAGTTTATTTATCGCCTGTATGTTATTGTTAGCATTGGAAGACGTGTTGGATAATCCACAAACACACGTCAGTAAATAACAAGTCGTGATAGCTTAAATGTTTGTGTCTCCGGCCGCTAAATATCACTGTTTCACACCTGGGCACCAACGCGGGCTAAATAATACCTACCACGGTGTGAATTATATCTGATGCGTTCGGTAAACTGATACTTTCCCAGCAGTTCTCACCAGATATCATATGCTTTATAACGAACTATTATTTTACCGCTTACCAAGTGTGTAATTAGATAAAACATACTCAGTACATCAGCATATCCTACACACCTTTATTCAGCCACGTTTCCTGCTTACAAATTCTTCTATGTAACTACCATTTATCTAAGATTACAATGATTTAGATATGTAACTGGTATAAATATACCTAGTTGTCTATTTTATATTTCAATCTTATCGTTTTTTAATCTACTAATCGGGACGGTTTTCATAAAAAGGCACACCGTGGTTCAGTCAGTCATAAGATCAAAGCACACTTGAAAACAATAAAAGCAAATTATCCTTTGGACAAATGAGTCGGTTAATTTGTACCAGTTCCTGTGGGTCAATTCATTGGTATCAAGGACACGTGCGGAGCGCAAGCGTAGGAAACATCTAAATTACATCTATATAGATACCTGCTTCTCATAAACTACATACTAGTTACTAAGAATAAAATTACTGATTTTCACAGATCCAGTATAAATTAATTTGTACAAAATATTGATGAACATTTTAATACACAACCTAGAACATAATCGACTAGGACTCTAGGTAAAAGCAAATAACTAAAAATGTATTCTTTGTTCGCAGGTGCATTTCTCATTCCTTATTTCATAATACTCTTGGTGTGTGGCGTTCCTATGCTGTTCATGGAATTGGCTGTTGGACAATATACGGCGCATGGACCCATAGGGGCTCTCTCACAAATATGCCCCCTATTCAAAGGTAATAAAATCGCATTGTGAAAAAAATACTTGCAATAGCGCACAAAATTGTGCAGATTACATATACTAAATACAATCCTTTTTACAGGTGCTGGGCTTGCAAGCGTTGTGATATCCTTTCTAATGTCTACTTACTATGCTGTGATAATAGCATGGGCGATTTACTATTTCTTCACATCGTTTAAGTCAGAAGTACCGTGGGCTAGTTGCTCGAACAGATGGAACACAGCCCAGTGTTGGGTGCCGCAGCACAACTACACGAAACCGAATGGATCTCAGACACCTACCGAACAATTCTTCGAGTAAGGTTTGCTTTTTTAGTAATGGATGAATTAGCGTAAAAATATTTAGTTATTTTCATTTTTCAAAAGTTCAAAATACCTACGAGTAATTTACTTTTCGAATATGCTGCTTTACTCAAAATGCTATATTTATACTTTCAGGAAAAAAGTCCTGAATATTAGCAATGGGATCGAATTTCCTGGTGGCATGCGGTGGGAATTAGCAGCTTGCTTAGTCTGTGCTTGGGTGTTAGTATACTTCGCCCTCTGGAAGAGCATTAAATCATCCGCCAAAGTTCGTTACATCACGACAACACTACCATTTCTACTGATTATAGTGTTCCTGGGGAGATCACTAACACTAGACGGCGCTGACGTCGGATTACGATACTTCTTCAAACCCGATTGGGAATTATTAAAACAATCGAGACCATGGGTGAATGCAGCGTCTCAGATCTTTAACTCCATCGGAATAGCCTTCGGCTCAATGATAATGTTTGCTTCATACAACAGATTTGACAATAACTTCCTACACGATACGCTGGCCGTATCACTGGTCAATGCGGTTACTAGCCTTATAGTAGGAATTTTCACATTTGCAACTATTGGAAATATTGCATTTGAACAGAACACCTCAGTAAAGGACGTAATTGCAGATAGTAAGTATTGAGTTAAAAAATCAGATACCTTTAGTGAATTTGTGCATTGGTCCATTATTTTAAGCGGCCAACAATAACCGCATCTATGTAAAATTTTGATTTCTATTCTTTAACACCTAATCTAATGCTTGAATATAACATATATGTAGTTTGGTGTTAGGTTGACACCTCGTAACTTCTTCAAAGAAAAAGTATAGTAACTAGGTGTCTACGCATAATCCAAAAACTTAATACTAGTCTATATCTACTACTACGACTTCTACTATTACTACGACTATTGCTACGAAACTAAACAAGACATCTCGTTTTACAGGTCCAGGTTTACTGTTTGTTGTGTATCCTCAAGCCATCGCTAAAATGCCAGCGCCACAGTTATGGGCCGTATTATTTTTCTTCATGTTCCTTTGTCTGGGACTTAACAGTCAAGTAAGTATGAGTAACACAACCTATACTTTTCAATGTCGTAAGGTTAGCCAATTTTTTTCTAAAAATAAAATAGCTTAAGCTATCGGTTTCGTAGTGGTTTATTGATTTATGTGCCTTTGCATTACCCGTACCTTTTAGCAAAGCGTCTAACTAAATGTACGTTTATTTCAGTTCGCGATAGTGGAAGTGGTAGTGACTTCAATTCAAGATGGATTTCCTGATATGATTCGACGGAAACTTGTTTATCACGAACTTTTGGTGCTGTGTGTTTGCGGAGTGTCTTTATTGTTCGGATTACCGCATATCATCCACAGCGGAATATACGTGTTCCAGCTAATGGATTACTACGCGGCCTCTCTCAGCATAACATACCTTGCATTCTTTGAAGTCGTGGCCATAGCGTGGTTCTACGGCGTAGGCCGGTTGTCTAGCAATATCAAACAGATGACAGGTCAGTATTGTATCATAATCTTATCCTACTAATATTATAAATGCGAATATTTGTATGGGATGTCTGGATGTCTGGACGTTTGTTACTCTTTCACGCAAAAACTAGAACTACTGAACGGTTTTTGATGAAACTTTACAGTAGGTATTATTGTTAATATTTATAACGATCTGTGACAAACTGAATTTCACGCGGGTGAAGCCGCGGGCAACAGCTAGTCTTCAATAATTTAACAACAGATTACAAGCTGTACAAAACTACACATAAAACTGGTACAAACTATAAATAACTATTCTAAATTACTTACCGACCGACGCGATTTTGTGAGTTCTTTCGTAACGACAGTTTCATCCTACGCTATAACAGTTGACACAAATTCTTTGCGACTTTGCCCCTAATTATAATATTTTCTGCGGTTGTTGCACTTTGACTTTTTTCCTCCTTTATTTTTTTTTTGTTACAAGAGTTACATTATGTATAAGAATATACATTTATATGTGTCTACTTTATTTGACCGAATAAGATGCTCATAATGAATATTTCTTAAATTTTGGATAATCACAGTAAGAGTTAGTTATTTTTGTGTAAAGCGTTTTTCATCTACCTGTATGAATAACTCGCACAATTCGTATTCAGCCCTGTGCATCGCATTTCCGTTTTGTCGTGATGATACAAAGATAACAACTTTTTGCGACTCTACTTAGATCATTCATAAAATATTGTGAATGCCGTCTGTGTAGGTATTTCGTGAATATACCTGTGCTGTGTAGAGTAGATTTACCTACCCTTATTTTAGAGCGACCTATTTCTATTTCAGGACGGGTTCCATCCTTCTACTTCCGGTTTTGCTGGTTGATAGCAACACCGGCGCTTCTGCTGGCCCTGTGGGTGGCCAGTTTAGTGGACTACACCCCGCCCGGGTATCGCCAATATGCCTACCCTGCTTGGGCACAAGTACTTGGATGGATCATAGCTTCATTGTCGTTACTGTGCATTCCTGTATACGCAGTGGTTACGATCGTTAGAGCCCCCGGAAAAAGCTTAGGAGAGGTAATGTATTAAGCTAATACGGATTTTTTTCTAGGCCATAATATTTTTTTAATCTAGTTACAATACTATTACACGGTGATAGGTATTAACCAAACATACCTACAACACCAATATTTTGATACTTTTGATAAACGACACCGACCGGATAAGATAAAGTAATTCCTAATCTTTCTTTTTCAGAAATTCCGTCATTCAATAAGGCCAACTTCAATGTGCGAATGTGGCGTAAGCGGGTGTGATATTTGCTATTCTGAATCAGAGCCTCCAGACGACAAAACGAATATAAACTAGTCTTTATCTTACATACCGTTGTAGGTACATCATTTTATAACAAGTCAGAGAACTTACATAACCAGAATGTATTTACTGCGACTTGTAAGACCGTGTCGATCACGATAAAATAGTCTGTAAGTAGCTATGAATCGAATAAGTACGACTCCGCATTACTTCGTGTGAGAATACAAGTACTTGAAGATATCAAGAATAAACACGACAAAGATATAACAAGACGTTCCTCCTCCATCACATTATCATTAATTTACAATGAGGCAGAGACCGCAATCGACCTTAAACAATAATCATAAATAGCAGTGTGACATACATTTCAACACTCGAAGCTAACGATTCGCTTTACAGAAAATACAATAGTTGGAGATAACGAGCGCTTCAAGAAATTCTCGTGGAATAATATTCTACATTATGTTGCAAATTGTAAACAAGCCTCAAGGAAGAAAGCTAACAAGTGTGATAATGAAATAGTCGGACTTATTTATTCGAAATTAATACACGAAACTATTGGTTTTCACTTTAAATCGAATGCACAATGAAATAAAATACGAACTTATCTACCTAAGGTATAAAGCTATGTATAATCTTTAGGACCAAATCAGTGGAAGTTATGAAACAATTTAAAACTCTTAGAAACTTTCGGATATATTTACGGCAATTATTCTAAAAACTATTTTTGTAAAGCGCTACCGCGATACATACCTAATATCAACTTCCTTCTTGATAGCTACTTCTGTTAATCGTAACTTCCTGCTTATAGTTATTGTGAATGAACTGTATTTGATGTGTAGTTTTATGCCAGGTGCATTTTTTATACAATAAACATGATTTTTTGGAAGAAAAATATCGAAAATCATTCCATTTATCAGTCTTGTTTTTAAAATGAATGTGAGAAGTACAAGATTATGGAGACGTCAATCAAAATATGTGTATGTATTAGAAAAAAAACCTAGTTCCAAAGGTAAATTATTCTATGAGTTCTAAGCAATAAATATTTCAATATATTTGATTGGGTCATTGAAATAATCCTATAAAAAACATTTTAGATATTATATAGGTACCTACTCTATTCAATCCATTGCCACTACTTATTATGTAGTTACCAATTTTTTTTCTCAAAAACATAGATATTAAGAAAAAGATATGAGCTTCGTAATGTGATAACATGTTACATTCCAGTAAATGAATATATTAAGTAAATTATTATTAAGTTATCTTTGGCTATGTACAATTTAATTAAGGAAGATTTTAGTATTATAAATTTTATTGTCAAGAAAAGCAATAATAACAATGAAGGTTGTGCTAATTATATTTATGCTGCAGCAATAAACTTAGATGAAATTTAAAACTATACCATTACAAATACAATACAATCAAATAATAATAACTATAATCTTAATAATCTTAATACTATAATCTTGTGTAAGGTACAACCTATGCAGGGCCCAGACTCCATCAGACATACTTTGGTACAAGAAATACTTGAAATTGAATAATGATTATATAATGTTATAAATAGACATGTAAATATTATACTGTAAATACATGTAATGTCATTGTTACATTAGTGTATAATTAAGAAAATAATAAAACTGAATACAAAAGCATCATTGTTTTATTACAAATTTTCAAGATAATTTATATAAAAACTTATTTCTATGTAATAACTACACTACTTCTACACTAAAAAAGGTTACTTCTTTTTTTTTCGTGGACTCACTTGTTCATCTGCATCATCTTCTTCGTCAATGTCATCCATATCATCCATGCTGTGACCTAAAAAAGAATAAAAAGTGAATTGTAAATAATTTAGTTTATATTGTAGCATTGTATGACTTGATGAATACTCAGTAATTGCTAAATTTAAAAAAATGGTTCAGTAGTTTACAGCTATGTAGCAAAGACCCAGGATCGAATCTGAATTGGGTCATAATCCTATAAATTCTAATCTGCTTAGGACTGAGGAATGCTAGAAGACACGACTAACAATAGTTCCCTCTGAGCTTTAAATAACCGCCCAGTGTTAAGGTTGTAATAAGTTTAATAAAACGAAGCTTTGTTCACCTGAATCTCCATCCCCACATTGTTTTTCGATCAACTTAGTCAGAGCATCATTTGCAGATCGTTGAAACACCTCCAATGATTTTAATAGCTGATTTGTTTGCGTATTGGTTTCTTTAGTTACTGAGTCAATTAGTTTTCCATTTTCGGATACCACTAACTTGATCGCGGACAGCATTGCTCTTTCACAACTTATCCTAACGTAAATGGAGCCAAAGTTACAATTTTCTTATTTCTATTATGGCTAAATTTGAAACTGCTTCAGAATTTCAGATTCAGATTTTCATACAAAAATACAAATTGCGAGCGACCAGCGAGGAAACCAAAACAGCTGATTTTTTGACATTAATGACAGCTGTTTGACACATATACCCAAAGAGTCTATAAACGAAATGGTTCCACCACAAATGTAAAAGATATGCGGATAAGGTTGACAACTGTTTTCAAAAAAAGTTAACCAATAGACTCGCTCATAAATTTAAAAAAAATGTAAATGGGGACGTTTGGCCGAAAATAGAATTTGTTTGAATTTCTTAGCAAAGTGACGATCGCTTTGGCAACCGCCGAAAACTTTAGCATGTTTTCGGCGAAGGCCGTTTTCCCATTCTCAAAGTAACGTTTTCCCATATTTTTTTTGTACCGCTAAACGAACGCCATTTTTCTTATTAGCGCTAGCAATTCTATATTTTCGGCTAAATGCCCCCATTGACATTATTTGACATTAGTCTGACACTGACATTCAGTTCCGAATGAACGAGCAAATTACGGCAGCGGTCAGCTGATTGATTGAAAATGATACTGAAAACTGAAAATTTAAATCTGAATTTAACTATGTAGATAAATATTCTCACGCGTTATTAGTTATGCGTGAATTTGGTAGATTTGGCCCTTTGATAGGTGCCATTGATGAAGGCACATCTAATGTAAAGTTTTTGGTACGAAACTTATTATGTTAAAAGTTGGTTTAAAAATTGAAACAATTTTATGATATTTTGTGATAAAACATATCTTTTTCAGGTTTTTGCAGCAAACACATCAGAAGTGTTGACATATCATCAAATATTACTTAAGCGTTTTAGCCCCCGTGAAGGTTGGGTTGAACAAGATGCCAAAGAAATTATAAATGCAGTGCTAGAATGTATAGAGGTAAATCTATGTTGCTAAATTTACTGTACTAAAGAAGTTTAATTATATCGCTGCAAACAGATTGTTTGTTATAAGCACTAATGATAATACCTAATTTAATAATAAAATATTACAGGTTACAGTAGACAACTTAAGAAAACTGGATATAAATCCTGAGGATTTAGTCGGAATAGGTATAACAAATCAGAGGGAAACTACCATTATCTGGAATTCAGTTACTGGAGAACCCTTATACAGTGCCATAGGTAGGTATCTAAGCCATTTTAAGTATTTCTAATTAATTTGATAGCTTCTCTGCATGTCAGTATATTACTGTAATTATTTTTTTCAGTTTGGTTAGATGTAAGGACATCAAGAATAGTGGATGATTTGGTGAAGACTAAAGGAACACAATGTGTGAATGCAGTTGTTCAGTGCAGTGGGCTGCCACTGTCTACATACTTCTCATCAGTAAAACTTAAATGGCTGTTACAAAATGTAACAGCTGTAAAAGAAGCAGTTCGATTAGGGGAATGTATGGCTGGGACAGTTGACTCTTGGCTCATTTGGGTATGTATCTTAATTTTAAATATGAATGATGAAATATTCAAAAGACAAGAGTGCAAAAACTTTCGTTGTCTAACTTACAGTTTACATGGTTAGAAAATAAATAAAAATAATAATCATAGTTTTGTTACATTAATCCTTATGGTAGTAACTAATATGTAATCTGTTCTTGTACATGTATATGATGAATTTTATTTATTCGCATGTTTATATGTAATATTTTTGCAGAATCTAACAGGTGGTTGTCATGGTGGAATACATGCTACAGATGTGACTAATGCATCTAGAACACAACTCATGTCTCTCAAAAGTTTGCAGTGGGATGAAGGGCTGCTAAGATTTTTTGATATACCCCAACAAATACTGCCAAAAATAAAAAGTTCTGCTGAAATTTATGGATACATTTCAATTGGTTCATTGCTTGGAGTACCTATTGCTGGGGTGAGTTGATATCAAATGACTGTGAAGTCAAACCTAGGTGCTTTCTATGCAGTTCCATTTAAATTTCCCATTCATTTACAGATTGACTACCATTTTTGCTATGTATTGTTCACATGCAAACAAGCCTCTATGTAAAGGTAATAACAATGTTCATTGGCAAAATTATACATCACTATTGCCTAATGTTAATGTCATGTTAAATGTATATTTAAACACTTCCTGCACTAAATTGTTGTTATATTTTAAATTGTTTCGTCAATATTGTTTATTCTTATTCTAGTGCTTAGGAGATCAACAGGCAGCTTTAGTTGGACAAGGATGTATGAAATTTGGACAAGTAAAATGTACATTTGGTACTGGATGTTTCTTACTGTACAATACAGGTACCTTCTAGTTCTTTATTTATTTTTCTTGAATATAAGTTTTTAAATTGCATTTATGTAGGTATTTATTTAGCAATGTTCATTTATTAATTCATTTTAATCACACTTTTTAAGACTAGCTATTTTTTTTTTTCAGGGGATTCAATAGTGCATTCCGAAAGTGGCTTGTTAACAACTGTGGCATATAAGCTTGGGCCGAATGCTCCTCCCGTATATGCATTAGAAGGATCAGTTGCTATAGCAGGTATTATTCGTCCATAAACGGCCTTTGACGGTAAGCAAAGCTAGTTATAACTTTAAGAAAATACACGTCATTTTAACACTATTTAATATTGGGGTTCATCATAGCAATATGTTGACACGCTTATCTACGGAATATTTTATTGAGATAAAAAGAAACAGATGTCACTATCATACCCTCTAATCATTTCAATGTGTGAAATGTTCCATAAATAGATACTGATTGTACTGTGAACGCATAGTTAAGGTATTAGCAAATAATGATAATGTGTATTCTGTATTCTTCTCTTTATTCTCTCCTAAAAAAATATAATCTACACTAACTTTTATTACATAAACCAGGTGACACCTTACAATGGCTGAAAAATGGTCTTGAAATACTAAATGACGTGAATGATTCCGAGAGCCAAGCTGCCGCCGTCAGTGATGATGACGAAGGAAGCATTTGTTTTGTACCTGCATTTAACGGCCTTTATTCACCGTACTGGAGAAAGGACGCCAGAGGGTAATCTATCTAATATACTAATATTATGCTTGTTCCAAAATATTATTTAACCTGTAATATAAAACTACTCAAGATTAGATTGAGATTCAACCAATGACAAGCTTTAATTAGCTGTGCTTGAGTTTCAACCTGGGTCGCGAGTCATTTCTTATCAGTCTTCATATTAAGTTTATTTAATCAAGTTTGATACAGATCACTTAGATATATCGAATTTGAACTTATAAACCGACAGCGCCGTAAATCATGACCGCACTGCTGGTTTTATGCACTGGCATGGTGGCTTTCGACATTATGATATGACGACGGGGAGCCACAATAGTCGAGTGTTGCTCCCAACACAACTGTAAACCTGTTGTAAATCTATCAATAAATATACGCCGCTCGACTATTGTGGTGAGCTCACTCGTGACACAAGCATAATATTTAGCTTAGTACGAGGGCTATCGGGAGTATTAGTATTTTTTGTGAAATAACAAATTAAATACTAATAAATTTTTTTTAAAGAAAAATAAAATACTTGGTTCCATTGGTCCACCAGGGTGTTATGCGGGTTGAGTGGTAGCACTCGGCGGGAGCACGTGGTGCGAGCAGCGCTGGAAGCCGTGTGCCAGCAAACGCGCGCCGTCGCCGTCGCCATGGAGGCCAGCTGTGCCCCGCTGCGTCGCCTGCTGGCCGATGGCGGCATGTCGCATAATACCCTCCTTATGCAGATGATGGCTGACCTACTCGGCATACCAGTGGTGAGTGAGCCAGGGTGACTGACGCTGCACTTGCCGGTACATGAAGGCCTGTCAGCGTGTAGCATAACGCCGTCTTTATGCAGACGCTGCAGCGCTGGCTAACAGTATGAAGCCGTTGCTAACAAGCTGAGAGCTACTAGTAATACGGACGCTATGCTTATGCTACAAGCGCGTATTGCAAAAATATCCACAAACTAGCCACATTTTGAGTGTGATATTATGTGATGAGAAGATGTTTGGGTAACTTTCTGTCCCACTGTTACCCCTTTTATTTCATTTTGTCCAGATCCGTCCGCTGATGATGGAGAGCACCTCACTAGGAGCAGCGATCGTGGCCGGCCGCGCGCTTCGCGTGTGGCCCTCGACTACACCCAGTCCACCTGCAGACACTTTCATACCTGCCCTCACTGCTGAAGGTTAGAAACGTTTCAAATTCTTTATTAGTATGTAGACCCGTTTCATTCATTCAATTCATTCAGCATAGCTAACGCCCGTATTCACAAACATTACAATGAGGTCTCACAGTGCGCGTGGACGCACAGGCTGACACACGAACCAATCACAGTGCTCTATTCAACGTTGTGCGTTCGATTTACTGCTTCACTTAAGTAATCGTTTGTGAATACCGCTTGACTTACTTGAAATACAGTAGAATCCCGATTATCCGGATCAATTAAAACCAGGGGTGTTCCGGATAATCGAAAATCCGGATAATCGAATTCAAAGTAAAATCAAACAATAATGAACTTTTTGCAATAGAAAGGGTTTTCAATACATCATTTAGACTTTAAAAATCTAAATTTTAGACCATTGGATGGATACATTTCTTTTAACAATTAACTAAGACGTAGTCCGTACCGTATTAGGGTGGCGGCGCCTACCGTTTTTATGGGTCCAGACCCTAAATCGGTAATTAGACACCGTGAAGAATGAGTCCGGATAATCGGATATCCGGATAATCGAAGTCCGGATAATCGAGATTCTACTGTACGGGCGTAAGCATTTATTAGTGAAGTCTCTGTCGACCTATAAATTCCCGACTATTTTTCCAGAACGTGAAATTCGTAGCGTCCGATGGGAAGCAGCGCTCGCACGGAGTATGGGCTGGGCTAACGAGAACAATGACGCAGAATGCAAAGCTAAAGATGGTAATTGTCATAAGAAATTATTTAAATTTTGGGTGTAACTATTTGAACTTAAATAAGTTTAAGAAAATTAATTAATTATCAATTCTTTTTCTTTGTTACAGCTGAAGTTGATACAACAACTAACGTCTTACCATCTGGTCTATTCTTTCTGGGAACTGCGTTGCTGGTAGTAATAGCAGACAAATTCAAACCAATATAAAATCATTTAGTTTACTTTTCCAAAATTTTAGGGCTCAACTGTATAGTCATAGAAAATACCTCCAAAAATAAATTAGTCTCGAAAAGTATTAATTAATTTTAAGCCATAATTAAGTAGTTGTCTGTTTGAAAAAAATAAACAAATTATTAAATATCACTTGTTTTGTTGCACTCTATTATCGTGTTTCTATTATAAGGAGAAAAAAACCCAATGATGAATACCATAAACTTATAAATATTATTTATTCAGTAAGTTGGTTAAATAAAATACAAAAAGATCAGTTCTTACATGATGTTAAAAAAATATCTATTATCCCTTAATTACAGCAATAGGTCTTAATTTAATAGTCTTCTTACTGATGCCAGCAGCATGACATGTGTTCACCACATCAGTTACATTCTTGTAAGATTCTGGGGCTTCTTCCATCACTAATTTTGGCGAGGCTACTCGAATAGAGATGCCTAGAGTTTCCAGTTTATTTAGGACTTCTTTATAATCCAAGTTGCGTCTAGACTTGGCCCGAGATAACGCACGGCCCTGAAACAATTGATAAAAATAAAATTTTCACCACTGTTACTTTTGTACTTACACAAAGTACTACCTAATTCAATGTAGTCTTAATAAACTAAATTAGATAACCATAACACTGAGATTTATGTGATATACATTATTCACATGCACATTTTGTTAACAAGCTCTAAACTGTTTGTCTAGTAGTATACATTATTATAAGTCTTTGTTTGAATACTAACCGCTCCATGGCAAGTTGATCCGAAAGTTTCAGTCATGCCCTGATGAGTTCCAGTGAGAACATAACTGCAGGTGCCCATAGTGCCTCCAATAAGCACAGGCTGACCAGTCAGCTGGTAGTCAACAGGAATCAATGGGTGATTGGGGGGGAATGCTCTGGTTGAACCCTAAAACAAAAGCATAGAATTAAATAAAATTGCAAAGATGTTTAACTGAAAGTATTCCAATTAATGTATATTATTTACCTTTCTATGTACCAATAATGTTTTAGGTCTTCCATCCACAATGTGTTCTTCAACCTTAGCAACATTATGAGAGACATCATAGATCAAATGCATGTCAAGATCATCAGGTGCCATTTTAAATTGTTTAGCAAATGCTTGACGAGTCAAGAATGTCATGGAACTACGGTTTACCCATGCAAAATTGGCAGCAGCTGCCATAGCCTTCAAATAATCCTGACCTTCAACAGAATTGATTCTTGCACAAGCTAGCTGCCTATCATTTGTCTCAATTTTATCCCTCTTCATAGCCTTCTCCATTTGTACAAGAGCATCAGTAGCAACCTGATGGCCAAATCCTCTACTGCCAGAATGGATCATGACACACACTTGACCAACTCTCTCCAAGCCCATTTTTCCGGCTGCATATTTGTCATAGATTTCATCTACAACTTGTATTTCAGCATAGTGGTTTCCAGCCCCCAATGTACCGAGCTGTGGCAAACCTCTCTTTTTGGCTCGGAGACTAACTTTAGAAGGGTCAGCATTCAACATGCGCCCATACTCTTCACAATGCTCTTTATCTTCAGCCCACACATATCCCTCTCGGAGAGACCAATCCATACCCATCTCCAAAGCTTCTTCCATATCACGAGCATTCATGGGAATAATTCCTTTGGAGCCAACTCCTACAGGTATGTGATCAAACAGGCTCTGGGCTAGTTGCTCCTAAAGAGACAAATAACAGCGTAATTAATATATTAGTTCCATTATTATTAGAATATTTAAAGATGCAAAGCTTATAAAATGTTATACAGTTGTACCAAATAATTACTGCTAATGCTATTGCATCATATTTTCACATAAATTGATAGATAACTTCACAAAGTACTAGCACATTTAGATTTATTATTTTCAAGAAAAACTGATTCAAGAAAAACTGACACCTACCTTAATAGGCTGAACATCTTTTTCGTGTAAATTGGTTCTTAAAAGTCTGACACCACAGTTAATGTCGAAACCTACTCCTCCAGGTGAAACAATTGATGTAGGATCGGACATATCGAAAGCAGCCATATTACCTGAAAATAACAATATTAGAAATTTGAATGTGTGGTTTACGAGGTTTTTAACAGACTTCACTATAAATACTATGCGATAGATCTTTATTGAAGGGTTAAACTGTTTAAGTTAAACTCTCACTGAAAACTATTCATGAAGATGTGACTTCAGTTGTTTGCCCAGTAGCCCACCAACACTAGAAGAAGAATATCAATATACTCTACCTACTTACCAATAGCAAATCCATAACCTGAATGAACATCTGGCAAGCCGACAGACCGGCCGACGATACCTGGCAGTGCGGCTACATTAGCTATCTGTTTCACACCCGGCAGGAATCCTCCGGTCATGCCAGGTCTGCAAGAGTTTCGCAGTTCATCTAACATCAGTTTTTCAAGAGTATTATTCACATAAAATACTCCTTCAACATTCATGTTAGGTTGGAAACCCTTCTTAATTTTCCAGCAATATGGATTGATTTTCTCCAAATATTTAAGTTCCTCATTGTACTGCCTCACTACCATTTTTTCAGCCTTTTTATTTCTTTATTTATTCTACAAATTCTAATGCTTTTTCGCAAAAATCTCGCAGACTTAAAAAAGCCAACAGTCTCATCTGTGCAGCCAACCAACAACAATGCTAATCTGTGCATCAATGACAAGTTGATTGACATTATTTTTATTTTTTCCGTAAAGCAAAATTTAAATAGACGTCAAGATATTACGTTATATCCAGCCGAATAAGTGCTCTGTGTCATCTGTGTAAAGGCCGGCGCTGGTGTCCAATGTCCATATATTTTGTTTGATTATCAAATAAACAGAATAACAGATACGCCATAGCCCAAATACTACTATAAAAAAGTTAAAATCTGACAGCTAGCTGTCAGTGTCAATAAAATTTGGCCTGTTTCATAATCTTTTGGGATCGGGATAAAGATCGAAATATTGTGCTGTTTTCAGCTTATTTAACCACATTATGGCAGCGCTAATCAAGTTTCGCCAAATGCCTTTAATGCAAAGGTGTGTTTGGAACCACTACAACAAGGTTAGCCGAACAATTTCTACCTCGAAGAGGAATAGCGAGACTGCAACGACTGCATGTGAAACTAAACCAGAGGAAAAAAATTGGGTTAGCTACGGGTTTGATTACAAGAGCAAAGAAGAGGATACCAACGTGCACCATGCGTCGTTCTTCTTTTCAGTCACTCTTTGCTTAGTTTTTGGCGGTTTTGCTTGGGCGTACGCTCCCGATGTACATTTAAGAGATTGGGCCCAACGAGAAGCATTTTTGGAGCTACGCAGACGGGAGAAAGCCGGCTTACCTCCAATCGATCCAAACTATATTAACCCCCGATCTATTAGCCTGCCATCAGAATCAGAAATTTGTGATGTTGAAATCGTCATATAAACTGTTCATCGACATGTTCTTCTTGTAGGTAAATAAAGATATTTTAGTAAAGTTTCATTTTATTTTGTTTCTTTTTATAAAAAAATCTGCATGGGTTGCTATAATATACATTTAAACCATTTAATTAACTTTTCTAAAAATAACAATTGCAATCCTATCTTCATTCATGTGTCTAAATACATAAAAATAAAAACTTTATATTTATTGTTGTGTGCAGAATACTAGATAAAACCAACAATAAATATGTACAAATTCTGAATTTAGTATTTTCACATTTCTTATTAATTTAATGTACATACATAATTGTATTAAGTAAATCAAACTGTAAATTAATTTGATTAAATTAGTAACTAAAATAAGTGTTTTATTACTGATCCATTTCTTTAAAATGTAGTGGTAGTTTATTAATTAAATTGGCAAGAAATATATTTAAAAAAAATTGAAAGCTTTTGAACCACATAAATAAATGACCTTTGTTTAGAAATTTAAATCAAATACTAAAAAAAACTTTCTATTCAATATTTATTAATACTAACCAGTCTTGCATTACAACAAACTATGACTACACAGATTTTACACGAATAATTTTTCCACCTGCTAAAACACCATAAGTACCATCATTAGTACTGATAAGACCATTAATACATGAGCCAACATTGATCTCTCCAGCGGGTTCCAAAACATCTTCTCCAATCTTCCACCCCGCATGATCCCATCCCAGCCACCTGTCCAAGCGTAGTCCCCACTCACTGACAGAGTAGTTACTATCATATCGCTAACCTGTTGAAATTGGAATTGAATGAGACAACAATCAGGGCTTTCATACCATGAAAATATAGTGTTTGATATAAATCACAATTAGCAGGTACTTAAGTACGCCTATATTTATTAGGTACAGTAAAAGTAGATAATACCTGCTCACTTTGACTCCTATGACCTTAGGAATAAGATAAATTGAGACTTTAATTATGTTTTTCAACTGACCTTAACTTCGTGTAATTGTTTAAATTTAGTGTCCACTGATGCATCGTGCAATCGGAGGTTATTGCCTCCTCTTGCCAACACCAAGAGGCGCCTGCCAGCTACACGCAATGGCGCACGACCCTCCATCGTGTGTCTTGTAACGAAACGAGATTTCGAATCATCTGGAAAGTTCAAATGTTAAATTTAGACTCCTGATATGTTATAGCCTATAGGTTGTTTGTATGTACCAGAACATGTTTTTCTCGCAATCTAGACCACACCACTATACTTTGCCATGAAATCGCGATTACGGGATGTGATTAAAGTGTTTATAAACGAGAATTTCTGTTGATTTCTTAACCCTATGGTTAACTGGCAGAGAATGCCTTATAACCTCAGATGATAAACATTAGGTTAGTAATTAATCCGACTATTATTATTGAATCCATGGAGTTCTCTATCTCCCTCCTTCCCATTTTAATCTACTGATTAGACACAGAGAGATAACTTACCTAAGTTCTTACTAATGGTAGCTTCGTCTTTTAAATTACATAGGTAGCTACTTACCCGGTTTAATTTCAGTAACGGTAACATCCAAGTCTCTAACTGTAAATAGAAATGGTGGACTGAACCACAAATCCTTTACTTCTTCTAATACATTGTATCTTGCTTTTTCTTCATTGTTCTCGTAAACCAAAACCTACAATAATTTATACACAACATGTATTCAAATAGTTAAAACGTACTAACGAATAGAACTAAGAATTTATAATAATTAAGATGGAACCTTTTCAAAGATTCGGTTAGTCTATCTACAAACTCTACAATTGATGGCGTTGCCTTATATTAAAGTGTAGGCGTTATTTTATAAATCTCATTTAGAAAACTCATACTGTCTAAGTACAACAACAACAAACATGCCCTTACATTTCCAGCTTCATCACCAGCATAGAGTTCTTTGTCAAAGACACGTAGCGCACAAATGTCTCCATCACCGGTGGTCTTCAGGTCAGCTACTTTGTTTCCCTGATCCGACCAAACCTTGATACCCCCGTCGTTAGATGCCGTGTACACTTTTCCACCTTGTGCAGCGATAGCAAACACCTGCACCCCGTGGGCTGACCATGCTACTCCAGGAGTTAGGTTCGCATCGAATGTCTGTAATAAGCAACGTCAGATTTCTTATAAAGTTTTATCATCAGTTTTATTTTTAAGCTCCGTACTTAGACTTTAGAAAGAAATATTCGCTAGAACATTATACAGTCCGCGTAACCGAGACATACTTACTTACTTCATGGTAAAATACTTATCGAGCTGGACTACTTAGGTGTTAAACCTATTACATTTGTAAACATATACACAATAAAATAAATGAAAATTTAACAAAAATTTACTCACTTTTACGGACCCATCTTCTGTACCAACATACAATTTACCATCCCAAGCCACCACACATGGTTCCGAGTCGATTTTTGTTTCAGTTTCAAGTTTTAAAGCCATATTAATGTTAAAATCAACCACTTTTCTGGAATATAGAATGTGCGTCTGTAGCTGTTGGTGTATTGACGAAAACTAAGAGTTCGAGAATCTCTAAAGTTATTTGGGATATAAATAAACGCGGAGACGTCGGGTGAACTTTACGAACAGTGTTTATAGCATCAGTTCTAGACGCATCTGGAACTCTTGTATGGTTCGAAACAGCTGATGTTGATATTTACCTTTACGAAAATATCAGGAAAATTCGACGTCTTGCTTTCATAATGAATAACAAAATTAGATTAACGTGTTTTTTAGTAAATGTTGGAATGGATCTGCGTGCCTACACTTTCTAACATAAATTATAAGACCTAATTAATTAAGTTACGAGCCGAGCTTTCATGATTATTTTCATGATTATTTGCAGCTTGGATATGAATTTAACATAAGTAAGTAGGTATCGAGATGTGTTTCTTAGTTCTAAAACGTTACAGTTCGATAAAAAATTGATGTAGGCTAAGTAGGCTTAGTTCGTATAATAATAGTGTTTAAGACTGAGATGCAAAGTTTACGACCACATTGACTGTTACTTTAATTGCAATAGGGTATCTTCAAGTACATAGTACTTACTATGTAAATGTTGCAACAATTTTTAAGAATCAAAACCGCTAGTAGGTCGAAATAATCAACTTTGTATTCGATAAAAGTAGTATGATGTAACATGTTGAACGTGGATCTAAATCCAAACTGATACTTGCTATTTCATAATTCAATTGTCCATAAATTGAAACAATAGCGACTAGGTGACTAGAATTATGTAGGTACGTGTTCACCATGGTTTGTGGAGCGTTACGGAAGTGTCCACATGGTAGGTAAGGTAACATACCCAAGTAGGTACTTTAAGCAACTGAATGGCAACTGAAAAAGTGAAAATACAAAATTGCTGACTTGTAATAGCATCGTGAGACGTTGTCGAATAAGGCGGTTATCACACTGCGCCGCGCTCCGCCGCGGAGCGCGTGATTTTCATATTTAAAAAATCAGGCGCGCGGACGCGTTGTCAGTGTGAAGTGCCGCGCGTGTTTTCTATACAAACTGAGGTGCTTGCATCCCATGATTAAATCTGTCGCCCCGCGCTTCGCGGCGGAGCGCGGCGCAGTGTGATAACCGCCTAAGTGCTAACTTAAACCACCAATTATTTATACAGGGTACTGAAATAGAAGCCGGCTTTACAATATTCGCTTAAAGATAGCTTTTTTAAGCTAAGATCGTTTAATAGACTTCTTTGCCAAATTTTGCCCTAAATTCTGATAACTGGATTACAGCCACTACAAAATAATTAAGTAAGTAGGCAAGAAGCATGGGCGTACCCACTTGGGGGTACCCATTTGAATTAAATCAAACTAAAAAATCTACCTAACAAAAAATCTCAATTGGCCCCCTCTCTAGTAATAAATAATGTACTTTCTTATTTCTTTCTTTGTTACCTACTTAGACAGGTAGAGACGCAATATAAATAAAGTAAACAAGTACATCTTTACACATTAGGTACATCGGTCAGGCGATGTCATAACCACTTCCAAGTTATCCATCCTACTTTCCGGACAACCTGTGTAACATGTTGTTATCAATCAAACTAATTTTAATGACAACAAATTGGCTTCAAATTCACCCACATGTTATTAATTTCCTGCCCAAGTAGTAAAAGTTTGTGATAGATGGATGTTTATTACCTACTCCTATTTAGTAAGGTATATTAAATGTATGTATGTATGTAGGTATAATTGTATCTTAAATATTATATCAATTAAAACTAGATTTTTTTCTCTCTCTTTTTCTTCACATACTTACCGATTTAACTTTTACCGCACTCAGCTTTCTGCATAACCCAGGGGTTGACTGACTGAGAATGCTTTACGTATTTATTGTGCAATAAAGTTGTATATTATTATTATTACTCCTTCACAAAACACTACCTACTGAACGCTGAACTAATGAAGCTTAGGTAAAGTTTCATTAACAGCAAGCAAGGACATTTTCAACCGACTTCAAAAAAGGAGGAGGTTCTCTATTCGACCCGTATGTTTTTTTTTTCTATGTTTGTTACGCGATAACTCCGCCAATTATGAACCGATTTGAACAAATCTTTTTTCGGCGTATACTTAGGTAATACCTCAAAGGTGGTCCCATTTAAATTTAATAATAGAAAAAAAAACCCCAAGGGTGGAAAATTGGGGATGAACTTTTTTATACGCAATATCTCCGCCGATTTATAAATCAATTTGAACGATTATTTTTTTGTTGAATAGGTATTATCAAAAGGGTGGTTTCATGCGAATTTGAAGAAAATATTTCACCCCCAAGGGTGGAAAATTGGGGATGAACTTTTTTATACGCAATATTTTTAATTTTTAGTTTTTTTTTGTGTTCACGCATTTGAAGTCGGTTTTATTTTTTATATCAGAATAACGTTAGGCTATAATTTATAATAATCTATGACAGGCAACCTAAAAGCGAAGCCGTAGCCAAAAGCTTATAACTAATTCACAAAAAAGTAGATTAGGTTAATATTGTTATAAAATTATTATTATCGTAGAAGAGGCGAACGGGGCATAAAATAATCCATAAGTAAACGCAACTGGATAGTGGATTAATCCTGTAGTTAGAAATCTTTAAAAATATCGCTAGTCTAGAGTCCTTCAAAACAAAAAACCTTGAAAAAAAACTGTAAAATGCGATTTATATTCTGAAACCTATGTTTTAATAATTTTATTATAACTACCAATCGCATTTTATAGAGTTCTAATTAGAGTTAAGTTCATATGCATAATTTAAAAAAGGTACCTACCTACTATTACGAAAGCCGAGTATTGAGTAACAGACTGAGTAATATTACTATTCTCAATACGTTTCACGTGTTTTCGTTTTTAGCGAGCCACTAATCAGGGTCCTCCCTATTGCACGTTTGTCAGGGGCTTTCGCAATCAACTTAGTTATTATTTTGTGTTAGTAGTAGTTTGGTAACCACTCAGGAACAAGTCTGAAACTTTTCGTGGAAACAAAACTGAATGCCTACCTGGCACTAACAAGTTATGAATATACGACGGGCTTAGTACACTAGTACAGTCAACGTCAAAAATATTTTGTAGAAGGTACAAACCTACTACTACCGTGCATGACTCATCTATGATGAGTGAATTAAAAATGTAGACTAATTAGTGACTGAAACCATTACATTTCAGGATGTTCAAAGGCATTTGGTCATAAGCATTGCAATGTAAACATGTAACATTCCTTATATAAGGAATGAATACCTAGCAGCTATTACTACTAATATTATAAGCGTAAAAGGACAAATTAAAATTAAACCATTTTTTTTATAATATTTAAACGTTTAATAGTATAAAAATAATATATTTACAAACATTCACATCAATTTGATGTACGATAAAAATATTTACGCAGCACAGTTCGGCACAATGCCAGTAGGTCACCGCGCCGTCCGTCCGCCCTCTCGTGAACACCGCATGCACCGCTTGCCTTCCTGGGTCTAGCAGTATCTTTTACGTCACACCATTTCAGGCAATCTTTCATAATTATTTTTAGCTACGGTCAACGGGCGCTAACACCATTTGGTTTATTGACAACTGTTCTAAAAGTCCATTGAAAGATAACAACTTTTCTAATCAGAGTCTAATAAAGACAATGTAAGAATCGTTATCGATTTCGATTCGGTAGAATCGCATACATACATCTTATTTTTTGTACTTAACAAAACACGAATCTAATTTATCGGAAGTCTTACATTGTCTAAACTAAACACTTTAAACAAGCTGTAAGTTTCGAATTGCGGTTTGTTTACCCTTATCGAAACACTTAATTAATATTTCTGAAAAACTGTGTCCTACAAAATCTGATGCTACGCAGCTGTTCTATTTAATTTCTCACTTATATGACTTAAATCTACTTATCAAGATATTTGGTAGTTTCTGAGAGGGTAGGTTACGCAGGCCGGTCGTCGGTGGTGAAGTTCAGGGGGCTCCGTACTCGGAGGAGGGCGCGGAGGCTGGTGCGCCGTACTCGGCCTGAGGCGCGGCCGCGGGGTAGCCTTCTTGCTTCTGTAAATTAAATAAAGAATTCAATTTTAATTTGTTTATCTAATAAATAGGCCGCTACCAACCGGGCAACATGGAAAGCATTGGGGGAGGCCTATGTTTAGCAGTGGACGTCCTATGGCTGAGACAATGATGATGATGATGAATTTAATAAAAACAGACTGTCTATCAAGTTGTTACCAGATTTTGCAAAAATAAATGTCACGGTTGGTTGTATTTCAGAGAAGATAATCATAATTTCAGAGAAGAGCATTTATACAATAGGCTTTAAATCAAATACCAAAAGTTCAACTCCTCGAACATAACTTGGTAACTCTATATATTTACATGGTGCTGATAGCACTCAATGAAAAATCTCAACCGCCACGGTAACTGCAATTAGTGACCGCCATTATATTATAGTTTATTAAATTTCTTCAATTTGCCAAATTACAAAACATTGTTAACTAATGTTGGGAGCAAATTACACTGCCATAACAATGGATCACATAATATTTTCGTGCATGGTTTACCCACTTTGCATTTGTAATCGTTTTGATAGCTCTACACCTACTTTCGTCTGACTTCATTCAAATGCCGAATGGACCGGCAATTATTATGCTATTTGCATTGAAATGGTAACTATCATGTTATTAAAGTGTTATGTAATTTCTGCATCTTATTTATTTGGTACACGAAGACGAATAAGTAGGCTAATAATTAGGGTAGAGTAACATCATTATTTTTATGATGCTTAATTATGCCCGTTGCCCATTTTGAGATTAAGTGGCTTAAAAGTTACTTATACTTGTTGGAAATTTAGTTGAATTAGGTAATTAACTTTTAACTAATTACTTTTTAAGGCCACAATGGATCCTGAGTTTTTCTACAGCAAATATAGGAACAAAAACGACTCTACCGGTTTTAAATTCCTAGGAGCTTAATGACTACATTACTACTTATTACATTACTTATTTTTATCAGACACGTATTAGGTCAATTGTCTGTAAGATTATGTACTTAGTACAAGTATGTAATAATAAGTAACCCCATTCCCGTATACACTTAGCTGGTATAGTAGCTCTAGAGCACGTATACAAACGAACTTGTTACAATTTCATTTCCTCCGAAGTATTGTTCGACGATAATAGTTCCAATTCAGGTTACACGTAGTTTTCCCACCAAACAATACGCAAACAAAAGGAAACATTCTGCGCGGTGGCTAATGACACAAAATGTTACTCATCTGAGTTGCGTTACTGTGTTATTGTGCCTGAGAATGGTAGCATCCTTGGTTGCGTCACCGTAATGATGATAGCAAGTGCGCTAGACATGCTAGGTCACGTAGAAGATGCTTCCTAGTGTTCCAGGAAATGTTACGCGCACTTTCACGAGGCGCGCGGCGCGGGCGCATCCCTACGCGACCCGAACGCGTAGCGCCAGCGTCTTCTCCGCACCGGTGCGTGATTATAAACAAGCATGATGTAATTAACCATTCACTTATGTTTTCATTAGTTAATAACAACTTTTACTCTACCGTATCGTAACTAATATCACTGTCATTGATTAATTTTTACCTTAACGTAACGGAGAAGGTGTAGATGCATTTAGGGTGAGAGTTAATTGTTTGTTTTGTTGTGTAGGCATTGCAAACGAATGTGCGTAATTTAACACCCTGAAAACTATTATTTCTATTGACTAATCCAAAATGCGAAAATAACTCTGTCTGCACTGAACCGATTTTGATGAAATTTGGTAGAGAGTTTGAGTCCCGGGACCTTTCCCGGCTTAAATCCTTATATAGGATGGTTTTCATCCCGGTTTTAGAAACTAACGATTTAATTAAACTCAATATCTTACCTGGGTCTTGTATCTGATGAAGTAGACTTCAGGTTTGGCAGGCTGAGTGGGCGCTGGGGTCGGGATCACGATGTCGGGTTGTTCTTCGGGTTTCTTCACCAACACGTAGACGAGGGTCTTCTCCTCATTCTGAGGCTGCACCGGGATTATGGGCGCGGTCGGGGTCGGTGGAGTCGGTGCCTTGATGAACACTATCTTGTAGTGCTTCTGAGGAGGAGGCACGTAGATGGGTTTACGAGCAGCTGGGTACTCGTTATCTGGAGGAGGGACGTGCACGTACACATGTTTGTGCACTATGGGCTGCTGAGGAGGGCCATACTGCGGCGCCGGGGCGCCGTAGGAGGATGACGGGGCGGAGTAAGAGGACGAGGGAGCGCCATACGACGTGGGCGGCTCAGGCCGCGCGACGGCGCAAGCTACCACCGCCGCCAACACGAAAGATCTCAGCACCTGTACACAATAAGGTCCATCGTTACTGGTTTAAAACGCATCTAAACCAAGACTTGCAAAAATAAGGGCACTTTCGCACTAATTACCCTTAATGACTTAAGGGTTTGTTTCACTTTTTCTTGAACTTTGACCGATGGCACCGGGTCACTAGAATGTTCTTGATGTCACTGTACCATTTCACAGAACCTACCGTTTTGTCACACATCCTGAGCACACGGTTAGATGCAGCCTTAGACTGTGTAGTGTCCAGCGACCCGGCGCCACCTGTGTTTATAAGAGATGCACGCTCCATATCCGGGGGAGGGGGCACTTTCGATGGTTCACATGCCTTGCGCAATGCGATGGTGCTCACGCGCCGCCCTCCTACTGACGACGCACCGAGCGCTGATGCTCGAGGGCAGATATTCAACTTTCAACGGGTAGGTAGTGCATTTGGAATTTTCTATATTTAAGCATAACGTATGGTGTACTTTAATTTCATTAAGTGCAAATTCTTATCATACTTTTCGAAAAGCTTTTCTGGACCGTCGTACCTACGTACCTAAATACGAGGATACCATTTATTTCCCTCAGGAACAAATTTACAAGCACACACAATTTACGATTTTTCAAAACAACGATCCTACTTTTGTTATTTCTAAAAAACAATAATGCTCTGTTTCATCAAACAAGGGTTTATTATGGTAATTAAATTTGTAATTTCGTGTAATAGTACATTGCATTCTATACGCATGTGACTGTTTTTAAACGTCGCTTATTATTACAGGATTCAAGTTGAACATTGATAATGGAAATCTAACTATCCCTTTAACATAATCGACTATTGCAATCGGAATAATCTTCAGTAAACGGCATTCTCACACATATCACTGTGATCAACATACTCGTATCTTGGTAGAATTTTAATGGTGAAACATTACTAGGTAAGTGTATCGGTGAACGTGTAGTCAGCCCACCACCATTAGAGGTTTGTTTACCCACATTAACAGTGCAATACCACTCTTATTTCAAACGAGTAAGATTTACACAAGATCTTTCTGGTATAGTTGACCACAAGTACGTAAAGGTGTCACGAGTTCAAATGTTAATTTCAGGTTAGGTAGCCGATGCTCGCAGTGCAGTCCTTTCTTCAACCGCTGTTTAGCAATAGTTGTATCGCGGATTCTGTTTATTACCTCCAGATTACCTCATAGACTAGCACCACGAAAGGCAAACGTATAAAAAGAAAAATATTTTATGCGAAACTTAGATTTAATTGATACTTAGATGCATTCTCACGTAACTTCAAATTGTTTTTTCCTCAAATTAAGGATGCGAGTATTATGCACATCACATCACAATAAAATTTCATACTTTTACATTACAGAACAAATAGTCAAAAATACTTTATGTTAAATTATTTACTCAAGAAAAACATAACTCTATTCATGACCTGGAAGTCCTGGGTTCAATTCCCAGAGAATTAACAAAGTGGTAAAAAAACTTGAAGTTAGATAGACCATGTACTGCGGTTAGCATAGAGCTTCACCTTAAGTGTAACTGACTTCTAAACCTACTACTACGCCTAAACCTACGACTATCTATGCAATTAATTGCAGCAAAACCTAATCGAAATCATTCTTCATCTAAGAGGCAAGTGAATGATAACAGATGCGTCACGCATTCAATCTGTTTGATAAAAACTAGTTCACATCAATGATCACCTGCATGTAGATAATTATTAGTATCAGTCTATCGACTTGACAAGCCTGCTTCACTGAAGCTCATTTATTACGCATTTTAAATCCTAATGGTAACAATTGTTGTTGGTGTAGCTCTATGTAGGTACTAAAATAATCTTTTTCATGGCTTAAACCGTGAAAATTGCTTGAAGCGATAACCTTCATAAAGGTATTTACTAGTTATTCAACCATCATTCACAGCACACTCATATTTATTGTATTAATTAGGAATTGTGTGGCATGCCCTAAACAATGAAGGAAGCATATTTTTTGTTCTGGAAGAAATTTTCAAAGTGTTAAACGCACAGTGCATTGTATAACGTTTTCTACGTGAAGTGCGAATAATTGACCTATGACTTGACGCCAATAATGTGGAAATACAGGTAGATTGGTAAGTGCTAGCCAGGCAGGTTGAATACTATCACACATTCCTTGGTCGAAGACTAAGGTGCGATATACAGGACGAAGCTCAAACTCGATTTAATTTAAGCATAGATTGAGGCTTTGATTACTTGAATTTCAATTTTTAATCTATTTACAGGTCAGAATCTATGACTGAGAATGAATCAAGTATAAAACGTTGTTTAATACAGGTCTAGCAACATTATAATTTTTTCTTCTTCATTTCTCCATTATCTTTTTCATTACCAAAAGCATCTCGCACTTCGTTGTCTATAAGCATGTTCTTTAACAGAGTGCCATGTTTGCTTCAATGAAGCTTGCTATGTAAAAAACTAAACAATAAAGATATTGTCTGCGAAGACATTTAAATTCTTTGAAGTTTCTATCCTATTCTACTCGTATCTACTTCAAAAATCGGTAATAGACATTATCATTTCATGGCTAACTATGTACTTTCATTATTTACTCACTTATAAGTATCCACTTAAGGAATGATGATACATGGTTTCCTGATTACGATAAACTGAATAAACAAATACTAGATCCAACTGGATCTTCATGCATCTCTTTTTGTACCCTAAAAAGCGATTTGAGGAATGAACAACATTTACGATAACAATCATTAGCACTATCCTACTTTTGTCAAAGGATCACTCAACTGCTTTAGTCTCTACATTTACTCGTAGTCTGGACTTTTATTTTACTTTTGATCTTTTCATGTCAAAAATAAGAAACTGAATTTTCATCGTCCGTTGAAAATGATAAGAAAAATTTGTAGAAAATTAACTAAGGTTTCACGTTTTTCTTAGCATTTGAAAAAGTAGTGTTTTCCGATTGCGATGTCTTATATAGAGTAAGTATCGCGTTACATGTTGTTTTCTTGTATATTATCTTCATCTTTATTTTGTGTGGTAACCCTGGGACATCGTTAAAAGCTCAGCTGTTACGTTTCAGTTAAGGACTGTTAGTCGGTTCCGCCTTTATAGAATCGCTGTCCACTTATTGGTGTGCATGTCCGACATATATCTCGACGACATCAGCCTTGCAGTACGCAACTAATTCATTACTACTTCCACACTGCCCAGGACATGTAAACAATCGGATCGGACCAGCTGATAAATATCTCTATAAGTGTTAATGCAAAAACAAACCATAAGAAGTCATGGCAGCCCTAAATCAGAGCAGAGGAAAGTGTTCTTGTAGAGCTACAAAGGTAAGTACAACCTAAAATTTAATCTTTACCCATGTAAAAATTACCTAATTATAACTTTTTCCGAATTTATCTTAATCTACACAAAATTGTTTATTATCCCATAATAAAGGGATTTAGATTGAGAATGTAAAAAAAATATATGAAAATAATTGCAAGCAATTTTAAAAAAATTTACATCTGTTGTGTAATCTTGATAATTTTCCAAAACGAGATACTGCTCTCCTCTTACAAAAAATATTTTACATGTACCTACTTAATAGATTCTAACTAAATAAGTAATTGCCGTTACGTCCTACAGACATTATCACCTAATTACATAACATATCCTCAATTATTTAGCCAAATAGTTACGGTTACGGCATATAAAACTCTAATTTCAATATGTAATTATTGAAATTTAAAAAATCTACACGGTCGAATTCATTATAATTGCTCTCATCACGAAGAAACAACCTTCTGTCATGTTTTAAGTTTGATTGGCATTGATTAGGCAACACTCCTTTTTATAATTTGAATAGAAATTAACATTCATTCGAGTTATAAGACGGCTTACTAAAATACTTTATACAACGCATTACTTTTTAATAAAATATCCCTTCAGAAATAACTGAAGTCATTGTAGGGTACTGTAGTCACTCAGAACCAGTTTTCAGGAATATTTTTAGCTAAACTGTTTTATAATTTTACTTTGTACCGATCCCACGACTTTTACTCGTACGTGTCCTCCGTACACTGTCAGGGAAACTCAGGCTAAATAAGTTAGAAAACTAACAAAAACACTTAAATTAGTTCTAGACATATGTAGATAATCCTATTTGAGAATAGAAGCTACCTACTCTATTTTTTTTTATAGAATGCTTATGTCTATCTATTGGGCACACTACACGTGTTTTATTTGTCTAGCTAACCTAATAAACTGTGGAGTCCTATTGTTAAATCAAAGTTCACTAATGAAATTCTGCAAAGCTTTTTTAGGGTTCCGTAGTCCTGACAGGAACCCTTATATAGTTTCGATATGGTCTGTCTGTCTGTCCGAGGTTTTGCTTGGAAACTATTGGCACTAGAGAGCTGTAATTTTGTGGAGGTATGTATACTAATCACACCGAAAAAAGGGTAGAATAAAATTTTGTAAAAAAAAATTTTTTCTGGTAGCTCCCCTACATGTATAGTGGGTATGATTTTTTTTTCTTCTTCTACCCCATCGTGTGGGGTATAGTTGGATAGGTATTTTAAAATGGCTTCAGAGTTTCTAAGACCATTTTTCGATTTAGGGATCCGTTTGCAAAGTGTTAAAGTTTAAAGAGCCAATTTTTGTTCGAGTAGAGCGTCCATCTAAAAACTAAACTGTTGGCTGGAAAATCAGTAAAAAATCATGATACTAGTGCTTTTTATGAACTTTTAAGGAAAACTATAGCGGTTAAGAAAGATCAGTTAGTTTAAGAGTAATAGTCGTTTAACTCAGGTATTATAAAATTTTATACCTAATAAAAAGTCCTTAGAAGAAAATATGAAAAGTGACTTTAGATGAAGTAATTGCTTGCTTCTAAAATATATTGTGGTAACGACGGACAACTACGGAACCCTACACTGCGCATGACATCACGACACGCACTTGACCAATTTTTTGTAATCTTGAATCCTGAAATCCAATTTACTTAGGTTTAAATTAAAGTAATCACGAGTGCTTATTCATTATTTTATTTAATTACTTGTCGGATGGTTTGAAACATTATAAACATTTAAGAATTCTTATATGATAACTGTAGTGTTAGAGGTATTAGGGACTTTATTACATACAAAACCTAAACAAAAAATTCGATATAATTAAATTTTTAAGTGTTTAATTTGATACAAATATCAAAAGACTTTAAAAACTTGATTATTACAATATTGTACACTCAATCATATCCGAAGAACTGTGTATTAGGTATCATTTACAATTCTATAATAGACCACAATAACAGAAAGAGATAGAGCACTAACTCTATCAGTTATAACAATTGCCCGAATCGTGATACGTATATGATGACCAAGTCAATTGATGACAAACATAAACAAATATTTCAAAGGGTAAATAATGTATTAGATCCGCCTACTTCTTAACTGTAATCGAGATGAATCAACTAACAGATCAGTATACTTAATTGTTTGGAATGTGGGCACGCACATCGTTCCCTCAGTTCCTCCCAACACGGTTCGACGACGTCTTGTAAATCCAGAGTCATCCGGTTTGAGGAAGCTGGTGGTAGCTCCGAACCGGCTGATTCCGCATCTCGCCGGCGTTTATCGGCCTTAGCTACGTGCACGCGCCACGCGCGTATTCATGTTATAAACGCTCCATTAGTTTTCACATCAGTATAGGCATTTCTGCACGCCAAAATATTACACAATACAAAACAATGAGCATCCAAATGCAATTCGTATATTTTTAGCATGTTCGTATATTCGGAATGTCATTTGCGTAATAGTCGTATTACTCACTGGCATTTCAGACTGCAAATCGCAAATCGCCTGTAACAAAGGCTTAGGTAAGGACAGAAACGAGCGGTTTCATGATTCACGCGACTTCCTATCAATGAAACTAATTGATTGTAGTGTTTTTAATGAATCACCACATCGTAGGAAGTTAATTATTTCGTTCAACGTCTAGTGGTCAATTGAAAACATACTTTTTAGTAATTGGAAAAATACTGCTCGACCCAGCGAAAATTATTTCTCATTGAACGGAGTAGAGGTAGTAGATTAGCCGCTCTCCGATTATACAATTAGGCAGCCTACATACATGTTTACACGTTGATTGATGACATGAACCAGACAAACTAAATAAGTTACATTAAGTATTAGTCGGCTAGATAATTTCAATTATAGCAGTCAATTATCATCAAGATACTTATTATTTTATTTCACGCAATTAAGTAATATTCTGTATTGTTTTAGGTATTTTTAACAAATATTTTACTGTTAAGCTTACTGACCGTCGTAGCAGCTACGCCAAGTTTACCACAACCCAACAAAACCCAGACAATAGATGTCACAAACAACAATCTCACAAGAGTCAGAAATGTTTCCATGGAAAGTGGAAATTTTGGTTGGGAAGACTACAGCGTGTTGGCGGTGATGTTGATAGTTTCGTGCGGAATCGGTGTATTCTATGGCTACTTTGGTGAAAAACCTACCACCGGTGACGACTTTTTGTTGGGAGGATCATCGATGGGAACATTTCCAATGTCGCTGAGTCTCGCAGCTAGGTAATAGAAGAAACATAAATATGAATTATGTTTATTTAAACGTTTTAAATGTTAATAAATTTGACGTTTTCAGTTTCATAACAGCAATAGAGCTGTTGGGAAACCCTGCGGAGATGTATATGGCGGGTGCGCAGTTCTGGATGATTTGTGTCGCCTTTGTGCTCGTCGTGCCCATCGCCAGCCAGTTGTATTTGCCCGTTTTTATGCGCTTGCGACTCACTTCATGCTACGAGTACTTGGTAAAACTATCAGTTTTGATTTATCAAAAAAACCTAAAATTAATTTAGATTTTCTAACCCTTTAAAATTTACAGGAAGTGCGGTTCTGCAAGTCTATTCGAGTGTACGCTAGTGTACTGTACATGCTGCAGATGATCCTATACACAGCTGTAGCCGTGTATGCGCCAGCGCTCGCACTTTCCGATGGTATGAACAAATATTATTTGACTGGAAATTTCGAATTTCCTTTTTAAATCGAAATAAAGTACGATTAACAGTATTAATTAATAATAATTTATTATCATATCATACAGTAAGTACATAAAATACAAGTACCTATCAAAATCAAACGAACAAAATCAAAGTCAGGGGTGGAAAAATATTTTAACAGGTGTCAGAAAATGGTAAAACTGATCTATTTGAAAGATACAACAATCCTCATTCCGCATTATTATTCAAATGCATAGCCCTTACAAAATTATATAAGTCGTGGACTTTATTCAAAGTAGGTAGGTACACAGTCAGTCAATGTCAATAGAAATTTTGCAACTGTAACGTGACCAAACATAGAATCGATTTAGAGCAAGTGGATGCTCCTATACATACATATAGGTATTTAAACTGGCTATCTACAGTCTATTTACATTTTAATTAAAATTTAGGAAACTACTTTCTTATATATTTAAGGAAAGATAAAATCACAAACGTCTGAATTATTTGAAAAAGTGTCACAAATCAATTTTATTAGATAGGTACACCCTCACAATCTACGAAATTCAAACATTGCACTTAGTAATAACCTTTCACAAAATCTTCTTGAGAATACGTAACTATTTAAATCAGGAAGGTCAAATATAATGACAGGATTGAGTTCAGCTGAATTACCATGCAATGCGCAACCTCAACCGAAAATTGTAGCTCAAAATAAATTCAAATCACGGGTGGTGCAATAGGTAACAGTTTGCATAATGTTCCCGGGCAACGCCGGGCTTTAATCTAATAATATTTAATAATAAAGAACGATTTATACAGCAATCTTGCGGTTTTAGAAAATAGACATTAACAATTCAAAGTTAAAACCAGAAGTGTTCTTAAATATATCCTACATCGTATGAATAGAGTGGTGTTACTTAACGATATCCTGAACAATTTGTATTATGTAGTCTAAATAGGTTAGTGAAAGCAAATAGTCAAGGCAAGACAACATAAAAGATGCAGCCAAAATGGGTGTGTATTCGTACGTGGCCACGCACAAGTGACCGCACTTACGCAATGGGATGACAATGCGAACATAAAACTTAATTCATGCTTCTGAATGTGACTTTAAGTGCTCTAATCATTACGTCAACGTAACAATTTAATGTTATCATTATAATATAAATGATATAATAACAGTACCGTCTATTGATATTTTATTGACGACTCTACCATATTCACAATGGAACGGTCTGCGATCTACAAATTTCTTTTTTACTTTAATGGACATTTAATATCAAATTGTTGTACATTAGATTAATATTATAAAAGTCTAAAGCTAATATTATTGCTTTATATGACGAGTTTCATAATAATTTCGGTATGCAACGGAGGAGCAAGTGTTGCGTCCGCGCCGCTTATTTACGACCTACCACTAAACTGGGCATCGTTAATGGTCCACGATGGAACGTGACACCTGGCACATAGGTCAGGGCGGCGGGCAATGCAGCCCGCAATGCAGCGAGATGTGCTAAATGGTCATCGCCACTGAGCAATGCTCAACTACCATTACTCGCTGACATAATACTCAATTATGATTAATGCTCAACTATTATCTTAATGGATGCCTTTATTCCGCAGTAATGTTCCTTTTCGGTGTCAGATGGTATTGCAGAGACGCCACGCTTAGAGATGTGAACAATTAGCTCGGTTTTAGCAACGAGAGAATGTTAATGACTTGTTTTCAAACTTGCTACACGCAATCCACGCCCGAAAAATTGATAATGAAAGGTTCCGCGGCGTGATGGTGTCTTAATGGCTATTCATCGAAATATAATTGAGATTTATCGATAAATACTAATTAAAATGTATTCGTTACACAAACACTCGTAGCTACTTTCGATTCAATTAATTGTGTAAGTTTTTCAATACCGAAATTCCTGTTTTTGTTTTACAGTTACGGGACTGAATACGTATTTGGCGGTGACGTTGGTTTACGTCGTGTGCATATTTTACGCTTCACAGGTAAGAATGTTTTTCTTTCTTTCTTTCTTTTTCTGTATTGGTGAACTTTTAAAAAGTTTTCGATGCAATTTTTATTGCACTATGGATCACCTATGAGTGTAATTAAACTTAGATAGAAGAGAAACAATCACAAAAAATACTTTAAATACGATTAGTTCTTCGCATTGGCCATATTTACTACGTATTATGTAGTATGGCTTGGTGTTAATTATCCAGACATGTAGCTTTTGGTTTAGTTCGCACAGCTGACGCAGCTTTCCATAGTTATTGTTAGTATAGTCGTATAGTTGCATATAACTATGAAAAACTGAGTCAGCTATGCAAGCTACGCTAAACTAGCTTAGCTCTTTACATTACGTTAGGATCATAGAAAAACCCGAAAATAGAAAAAACATTTCCTAAAAAATTTTGTTCCGCGACCGACAAAATCGTCCGAGCGAGATTGAGGGATTTGACTTAATTTTGTAATTTTGAACAGGGTGGTATGAAAGCCGTGATAATGACGGACTCGTTCCAATCGGCCGTGCTGCTGGGCTCGCTGGGCGCGGTGCTGGCGCTGGGCGCGGCCGGCGTGGGCGGGCTCGACGTGGCGTGGGACTACGCCGCCCGCACCGAAAGACTGCACTTTTTCGAGTAATCCAACATTATTTTAAAGCGTATTGCAACATTTTCCCCTATGCATTTACTGTACGGAAAAAATATGATGCAAATAAGTACTTCTCGGCAAAATTCCCTATTTGGAAAAAAAAACATTATAATTATGTAAAAACTAGATTGAAAAAACAAAATTTTCTTGGTTTTCCAAAGCACTCCAAAGTTTGTACTCAGTGTGGCCAATACGAAACTATGCGGTTACTTTGTAGCCATATCAAAGTTATCGTAATCCACCGTAAACCAATAACACTGGTTAGGTTAGAGGAAGAAATTATATGAATACTAACGAATCGTTAAAATCGTAGGTACTTGAGGATGGTCACGAACGTACACCTAGCTTTCTATAAAGTGAAATCTTTTGCAAACTGAGATGTGAAGTGGTTTATACTCGTGCATACGCATGCAATCAAAATTGCGAACCACATGCCCTCAATATCCATAATGATTATTTGTAGATAAACATTTCCTTCGTATTACCATAATTACATTACTTTTGGGATTACTAAACATAAACCAACATAAATTGAGCATGCATTTTGAAATCAAAATGAACTTTTTAGGTATTTCGTCAGCGGTTTAAGTAGAAAACGAGTGTTTACTAAGTTACTTATTTGATTTTAGCATGAACCCAGACCCGACGGTGCGGCACTCGTTTTGGTCTGTCGTGGTCGGAGGGACCATGTACTGGACGAGCATGTTTTGCGCCAACCAAGCTTCGGTGCAAAAGTACCTGTCAGTCGAACGCATCAGCCAAGTGCGAGTCGCGCTATGGGTCTCCGCCTTCGGCTTGATAGCGGTGTACTCCGTGAATTTCGTCACCGGGGTCATCCTCGCATACCATTATTCCGATTGTGATCCCATTCAGGTAAACGTTTACGAATTTATTACGCTACATTGACGCGCGCGCATTAGAATACGGTCATTATTACAAAACACGTGTATGTGTGTTGCACACGTTTTCCAATATTAAGGTACACTTGCTGGCTACTTTATATGCAAACGTGGAGTGAAATGAATAATGATGAATTGATGATTTACCACAGGCCGGAATTACTAAAGGATCCGATCGTATCCTGCCGTTGTACGTGATGCAACAGCTTGGCAAGTACCGGGGCATGCCAGGATTCTTCGTTGCTGGAATTTTCGCAGCCAGTCTTGGGTAACACATCACTGATATTTACTTAGATAATATTACTGAAACTTGACTATTTTGTCTCCCACAACAATAATGAGCCCGTCATAGTGAATCGTATGAAGGCCCGTGAATTACTGATCCAGATTCAGTCACAGCTTCAGACCTAACAGTTAACTGGTGAAGTCCAGTTGGTATACCAGTTTTAATTCACGACACTGTTCAGATAAATTGGTAACTCAATTCATATCGCAAATTGCATCGTTAAGAGTAAGCTGTCAGCCGACAATGCTAAATCAATTAAAATTGTTATTATTTATTATTCAATTTAACAACTACTATAAGATAGTTATTTAATTTTTAGCGTTAAGAGTCGCATCTCAAACTAATTTGAAAATTATAAATAACTTGAAAAAATCGAACTGCCTAAGGCGGGAATTGAACCCACGACCTTCCGCTTGCCGGGGTTCGTGGGTTCAATTCCCGCCTTAGGCAGTTCGATTTTTTCAAGTTATTTATAATTTTCATACTATAAGATAGACATTATTTTCATTACGTAAACAGAGCCTTTCTCCTTTTAGATTAGACTTGGATTAAAAGTGTTTTCTTGTATTGATTCAACAACATATTGATGTTAAATATTTGAGGACACTAAATGTATTTATTTTCATTTTTCAGAACAGTGGCTTCGGCTTTGAACTCTTTAGCTGCTATAGCATGTCAGGATTTAGTGACAGGGCTCCTTGGAATAAAGCTACCGGAAGATAAGGGAGCTATGGTAAGTTTCTCAAAGTCCCCCAAGCAGATAGCTATGAGACGAGCTAGGTCAAAAAACCATGAAACTATAGTAGGTATGTTTACCTAAAAGGTGTAGCCGAATGGTAAGATATGGGATGAGAGCATGAATCCTCCCTTAGGCATCACGCACACTCTGGCTTCAATAAGCATAATTATAAAAAGTATTAAAAAGCTCTGCTGAAAGCTTTCCCACCACTCTACGAATAAGCTAAAGTAACTATTAGTGTCCGACCGAATGTTCGGTTTCGGTTTCGTTTTCGGTTGAGTTTCGGTAAAAACACGAGTTTCGGTTTAGTTTCGTTTTCGGCGGCAAACTTGCCGAAACTACGACCGAAACCGAATGTGCATTACGATCATAGTTATACTTAATTTATAGTATTATACAATGTGTCCGGGCATGTAGTGATCAAACTTTAATGGCGTGATCTATGGACAATTTTATCGATGAAAATACTCCAAATTTGGGGCTTGACCCATTTCTCAAAAAATTACAAGGCTTTAATTTTTAGAATTCACCTCTTCCTTCAAAAACAAGTGACTGCGTGGGCACCTTAACACTAATGAGCAAATATTTTATGTCATGCGATAGCTGATAAAATGATCTATTAGTAAAGTAGAAAACAGACACAAGTTTCATACATTTTAAGGAAGTAGGAATGGATTTAAGTAGAAAAAAACTTGACTATTTTAACTTCTTTTTCAATTATTTTTCAACACATGAAAAATCAGGTCGTTAAAGTTATGTCTTATTTGCATTGTATTATTAGTATTTGAGCTATTCTACAAAACGAATGTAAATTTATTAGTCTACGTCTATTACTTTCGAAGCTATTGTTGAACAAAGATACCCCTTCCCAGCCGGTTCCATAGCGCGGCTAGTCAAGGAGTCGGAGTAGGTTGTGCGATTCTTTCAGGCAGTGCATTTTCGCATTTCTTTATTTTTCCCTCAAAATATGAGCCTTGTAAGGAAGTTTCGGTTTCGGTTTCGGTTTCGGCCGAAATAGACACCGTTGCCGAAATTCGTTTACGGTTTCGGTTTTGGTCGTAAAACTAGTTTCGGTCGGACACTAGTAACTATGCTGTGTAAGCTTTAAGCCGGTATATGCCAACAGTTGTAATAAGGTGAGGTGACCCAAAAAGTAAAATTGTATAGCAACCAAAAAAATAATTTAATTTGTTCTAACGCGTTTAAGTCTTTTGTATGGCAACTATAAAAAACATACTTATTGAGCTTATTACATAAAGTAAATAATTGCAACGACATTATGTTTAAAAAAATCATAAGCATATTATCATTTGTGGTTCCATCTTTCATTCCAAACCGTCATATATCGCTTAGTGGCTTCATGGTGGTTTCAACAACCAAATAAATCATAGTCTGATTAATGACTCATTCATGATTAACAAATACAAACATTAATGATTTATCACTGTTAACAGATAGCACGATGGGTGTGCATCGCGTGTGGCGCGGTGTCGTTCGGGCTTGTATTCGCGGTGGAGCGCCTAGGGCCTGTGCTGCAACTGGCACTGTCCTTCAACGGGATGGCAGGCGGTGTTTCGCTGGGCCTCTTCACCCTTGGCATGCTGTTCCCTTGGGCTAATGCTAAGGTACTACTGCACTATTTTCAGACCTTGCTGCTACTGGTTCTATCATTTAACAAGGTATTTTGCGAGTTCATATTCGCTACTAGCGGCCGGCCGCGACTTCGTACGCGTGGATCCCGTTTTGCCCCCTTCATGTTTTTTTTCCCCGCTAACTCCCGTTCCCGTGGGAATTTTGCAATATCCTGTTGTAACTAAGCTTTAAATTTACTAAGGTACCTGGACGCCAAATTTCAAACGTCTAACTTAAGCGGTTTAGATTTTTCATACAAATATTTTTGGCATCAGTATCGATCACTAATCACCCCCTGATAGTTATTTTGAAAATATATTTCATGTACAGAATTGACCTTTCTACAGATTTATTATAAGTATAGATATAGATAATCACAGCGACAATATCACAAATTCACAATAGACTAAAGGTATCGGACTCGGTGTCACTGCCGATTCTGAACTTGCCTCTAATTCGTAGCCTAGTTTGAGGTGTTAACGGGACTAGATATTAGCAATTTGCGCAGTACAGATTACTGTTATTCTTAAAAAAAAACTGTTGATTAGTTAACTTTAACTAATTAAATATTTGAATAAGAAAGTTAGCTTTAAAAAGCTTTTTTTTGTGTTGATTACAACACCCATTAATATTTCATGCAGGTCATATTTTTTATTGCGATTGCAAACGATTACATACAAGAAAATTAACCAGACAACGTCAACATTGTCAAGACGATTACACCTCTCGCCAGTGAACCTCTCATCTCAACCTCATCATCTCGCCACTCGACTTCGAGTGTTGCAACATTACTCGTCAATAGTGTTGCTTTTTATATGTAACATATTTTTAGAATAGATTTTGTCCGCGGCTTCGCTCGCTTTAAAATATAGACCTTCGTTTCATCCCCTTGCTGTCGCTTAGCGGACGCCTGTCGTAATACTTAATTAAACGCAAACCATTCAGTGTTTCAGCTGAGTGCTGATAAATCAGTCAGTAACGTTTATATATCTTTAAGTGCACAAACAATAATGAGCTTCAAATATTTTGAAATGAGGTAGACATTTCAGATAGAGTTAAGTACTTACCTAGATGAAGAAACTATTGGTGAATCGTATGAATAGAAATAAAATTGGTAATAATTAATATGTAACCTGATTGCAATAAAAGTAACAGATTCATGCGTTTGTTTACATAAGCGGTAAGCGTTACAGTCATTATCGAACGAAAGTAAAGAGAATGCGTCTCCATTTTTACATCAAGTAAGCATCAGTAGGTCAAGGCCATGCCACACATGCAGACGGCTGCATCCGCCTATATTCGACCGTAATGCGTATGACCTACGACCTCTGTTAATTTTAGAAGGAATAGTAAACTGAAAAATTATTGGTAAAACATTCAAGGTTGAAATAAAAAGTGAACGTAAAATGTGTTTAATTAATTTCGAGCATTAGCATACCAATAAAGATTTATCAAAGTAAGACCTAGGCAACAACATTCAATTTGAAAAGACTGTAGGGAGATTTTCTTTAGGAGCGACACCAGTCATACTTGTTCAAAGGTAGGCGCAGAGCACCATTTTTAGTTGGCCGATATTTGGGCCCGATTTTAATTTGTATGAAGAAGCGGCCAAATCAAATCGGTGTAATGTGCGCACTTTCATACATGCCCATAGTATTATATTATCTGAATTTATCTGTGCCCATACTGATCAACTGCCCAACTAAACTATCGGCCGACGAAAAATCGATGGTCTGCGCCTAGGCTTCAAGTTTGTACCTGTTACGGCGGGAATACGCAAACCCTATAGTATATGCTAATAAAATTATGTTGGTGTTTTCATAGAAAATAGAATCCGAAAGCATTAAAGGTTATCACGTAAAGACCGTGAATGGCGTGCGTATACTGCCTGCCCAATACCTTATTACCACTCCACCTACCATGGACGATTACTACAGTCAAAGGAGGGTTATGTTCCGCAATGGACTTTAAAACAAAAGGCCAAGACAGTCAATAAAACATACAAATGGTGACAAGTATGAATAATAGGTATGGCCATGGATGGCGAACCATACAATTTTGGGAACCAAACCGACACAAAAATCACTCACTACGTAATGAAATTTTACAAAATGTTTGCAATCAATAACATTTAAGTATCTAGCATTATTTGACGGCTCATCTTAATTTTTACAAAAAATACACATTGATACAGTGCGAAGATTTGCCCTCCTTTAATGTTATGCCTACTTACCCCATGTTGTAAATTCAGGGTGCGGTGGCTGGCGGCGTGTTTGGTTTACTGCTGGTGGTGGTGGCCGGCGGCGGCGCACAGCTGGCCCAAGTGACTACTCCTGGCCTGCCAGCCTCCACCGAAGGCTGCATTCTTCCAGATAACTCAACAATCCTCTTGACTCCTGGGTAAATATAAATAAAATCTAAACATTTCAATTGTGACCATATGAATATTTTTGTTAAGACAAAGTTCTCGATCATTTATGTACCTATATTTAATGTGTCACTAATCGTTTTTGATAAGTCAATGGCACTATAGGCGTAGCGCTTTATTGGGTATCTTTTCTACTGAACCGCTACTTATGCGCTACCAGTAGATGAAAATATGAAAGATATTTTTGCACATTGACTGTAAAGTTAGTGTTCACGTTAGTGCACCTACCTATCAAAGACTATTTTACAGCAATGCTCAGGACGAAGCTGTCTTCTGGCTGTTCCGTGTCTCATACCTGTGGTACTCCGGGCTAGGCTGCGTCGCCACAGTGCTCGTCGGGCTCCTGGTGTCGGTCATCACCGGCGTCACGCACCCGGCCCACGTACCAATTGACCTTATATCGCCGCCCATCGTAGCACTACTCAATTCCTTACCAAATAACATGAAGGTAAGCGTTTAGGTACTTCATTATCATCTTCAAAAAAATATTGTAGGAGAGTATGATAATCAAGCGTATCCCAATAGAAATGCTAGAAGATTGATTCTTGCTCTTAACTCTTGAAGAGGGCCAACTCCGCTTTGTCTTATGCCCATATCCAGATGAAGAAAATATACCTAAGTGAGACTAATTTTGAGTTTCACCAACTAGACATCACCGTGTGTCCACTGTCCAGTCTCTTATTGTATCGGGTTGGTTAATAACCTTATCAAGGGAGACAGTGTCGTTTTTCGAAATCTGGCTTAACGACTTTGATTCGTTCACTAACACTTGGATGCTACTCGTATATGAGAATCTAGTTCGGAAGATACTGATATCAATTAAATCTATGCAATTTGTTTTTCATTCAAAGTGTTTCTAACGTAAACATACAATCCTGTTAAAATGTGGTAAGTTTTTTCATAGATCTTAGTAATGAGGCGTAAATTTAACCATTAAACTTCAACCGCAGGTTAAATGCGTATGTAAATATGTACATCACAAAATATGAAATCTGACAAGATAATCAACATAACGCGCTGCATACCAAAAAAGTGTGTGACACGTTACAGTTCTGCTAGAGAATTCCAAATTATAATATAATTAGCTCAGTAAATCATAATATACTGCGGTAAACCGCATCTTGACGTCAATTTATTTGTTCTCATCACGTCTTCGTGGTCCCGTGGATAGTACTTCGATGCCCTCCTCCTCTGACGCCTTTCTGGGTTTGATTGATTCTCAGAGTGGTGTGCAAAACGAAATAACGCATAGGTATCTACTCTACCTGCTGCCCATGTTCATCATATCATAGTCAATTCATGATCATGTTATGTCGTCAGTTAATGGTTAGTTTAGGGATCTTCTAAACCTAACTTTCCTGAGTTCGCAACCTATGTTGTTAAATAGGTTTTTGAACATTAGTGGAGTTTAGTGATGTAATCCTAAAATGCTTAGGTAGGTGTAGCGATTCTTAAAAAAACAATTTTTTTTTTGGGTTTCGCAACCCAAAATTGGTTAGGTTTCTGAACCCAAGTAAGAGTTCAGTTACTAAACATTATTTGGCTAGGTTTTGTATAAAACTAACTTTTTTGGGTTCGCAACCCTAATCACTCAGTATGATTAATCGTGCTACTAACAATGCAATGCAGCAAGCAATCTTTAGAGTTTCAATTTCTTGATCGCTCGTAATAACTTAAATTACGTTTCAGTCAGATAGCAAAAAGTAGACTCGAAATCGTAACGGAATTCAACACCTGTCCACATGCGCAAGCATAAAAAACAATTTCTTCGTTTCTACAGAAAAGTCTGCGTGTGTCAACTCGGCTGGGGTCAGAAAGGCGTCGCAGTTCCAGCGTGCGGCCGCCCAGCATGTCCGACGACAAAGACACGCGCAGGCGCCGCCGGCTCTCCGAGCTTGCTGGCGGAGTGTTCTACAGCGACGCGCCCACGCTCACGCGCGGCCTCGACAACCCCGCCCTCGGCCTAGACTCAGAGAAACCACCCCCAGACGAATACCACTTCAATAGCTTCAAACTAGAACCCACATCCAACGGGCACACTTCCAACTTTTCTTAATTAATTTGTATATTCACTTAAATACAGGTACTTAGTAGCGTTAATAGCTTCACATCTGTATCCCCATAAATGCACCACACTGTGCAGGTGTAAATTTTTAATTTATTCGCGGTAGATTATGTAATTGTATTGTGTGTGTGAATATTAGAATTTAAGCAATATGTTATCTTTGTGACAGTAAATAATTTATATCATAAGTTCACTTGATTCCGGAGCAGGATGTGGTCAACGCCCCGTTAGTCAGAGATGAGTCATTCGTTGCCCTATACTAAAAAACGGCCAAGTGCGAGCTATCGTGTGCAAAAGGTTCCGAAAATTAATTGTTTACCGCACATATATCATAAAATTTGGCCTATTTAAAGAAACGAGATCTATGACACTAAGCTACTCCATTTTACTAAATATTCTATTCAAAAAATTATTACTTACTGATAAAAACAGTTGCGTAATGATCTTTAAAATTTTATAAAAATAATACAGATATCCCCGTTAAAACCTGCAAAACGAAGAACGTAATTTGCGATAAAAATGTTTAGACTAGAATCCAACTACTTGTATGTGATAAATCTACACACTTTATTCAACGGACTGTTGGCGCTGCTGTTATGTTATAGTTCGCGACTTTAGTTTAATTTGTAACAATGCGAATGCGTAGAATATTTCGATAATTTGTTATAAATATTTAAAAATAAATTATTTTATAAAGCCTGTTTTTTTTTCATATCTAATTGAAACATCTTTGTTGGTTTTAATTTGTTTATTTTCAGTGTTTAGGGTACACTTAAATAACTTAGGAAGGCGTATAAATATTAATAAATTGTAGAAATTGAGTTACATGTTTTTAAGAAGTTCCTCTAAATTAATAAATTGTCAATAACTGAAATACACTAGTCATGTTAGAGTAAACAAACAAAACAAAACTATATTGCACATCTTTAAAATCTACAAATGAATTTCTTCTTTAGGAGCCTTCCAGCAGCATAATTGTACGTGATTTGAACATAACATTTAAATAAAAGTAACATGAATATCAGCAAATAAGACAATTTTCTGCTTAACAATAATATTTATAAAATGCAAACAATTTAGATATCATTTCATGATAATAAATCTTGTTGTTGGTGTTGTGACTGTTGCTGGTGTAGACCTTGCATAGCAGAAACAGGCACGCTCACTGTTATGGGTGGCATTCCCGGTAACGACACCGGCAACACCATGGAGGGCCCGCTGGACACCGGCGGGGGCTGCATGGGCGTCGGCGCGAAGCTGCTCACATCAAATGTGGCAACCGGTGCAGCATTTTGGGGATACACAGCAGTACTTGGCGAGTAGCTAGGCATCATTGGTATATAAGGCTGAGGTTGATTCATAGGAATACCTGGCAAACTCGGTAGCGGCGCTGGAGGCTGCATATTGGAAAAGGACGGTATACTTCCTAAATTGGTCAGGGTTGTGTCTGCTAAATCTGAAATAAAAATTATAATTTTAATAACATTCCTGGTAATATTTGATGATTACCAAAATAACGATAATTTACTTACTGCTAGAATAGGCAGCCATATTGGATACAATAGACTGTTGAGAGATGGGTTGCTGTGGCAACGATTGTGGTATCACAGGCATTTGTGGTGATTGCAATGGCGGCTGCGGAATGTCTTGACTTGGAAGAGGTTTATCAACATAGCTAGCAGTGGTATAGTTTCCAGGGTTTACCATCGGCACACCAGACAAGAAAGGAGGTGGTGTTTGTATAGGCTCTGGTTGTACATTGAAGGTCTGTGGTCCAGAGGGCTTACTTTCGTTGATATTCATATTGTACAAATTTGATGTAAGCTGTGCAGTATCCTGAAAAATAAAAGGTTTGAATTAAAATACAATTTACAAAATTATCTACTTATTATGTAAAAAATAATGAAACAAGAGAAATTTGACACACATACCATAGCTGTTGCAGGATTCTGTCCCGGCATGGGGTAAATATTTCTAATAGGAATCCTGTGTAAATACCCATAACCAATGCCACACCCTAGACTTCCTTCTCCTCCCCAATTGTGGTTGGGAGTGATATTGACCTCTCGGCAAGTGTCATCGTTCACATTGTAAACATACAACTTTAAAGCTCTACCTTCATGAGCTTCAATAAGTGTGAAAAAATCTTCACTTTCATGCATAACTGAATCAGCTCCAATAATATAATCCGAAAATGGCTTCAATCCTGCCATTTCTGCAGGTGAAGATGGATGAACTTCCTGTAATTTACAGAATTTACCAATTAATAATCTAGGCTATATAAATGTGTAGTAAAACGTTACTACTCTTTTGACAATGATCACATGATAGGTTGAAACTTACCAGCACATGCCATACATTTTCAGTGGCTCCTTCAAAGGAACAAAACCTTATACTCACTCCCAGCAACCCTTGCCCACCCCAGTCAGCACTAGGTGTAACCATTACTTCTCTCACAGACTGGGTTTTGCTGCTGTATATTAACATTTTAATAGATTTATCAACATTTTGCTTTAGTAGTTCTTTTAAAGTATCATTGTCCTGGTCCAATCTAGTATTTTCTATGGCTACTATAAAGTCGAAAAAAGCTTCCAAATTAGCTTTTTGACCCGGAGAACCGTCTTGCACCTGTAAATACAATTATTGACGTGTCTTATGTGGATTGTTAGACTCGAAATGATTTGAAATGCCTCAAAGCAATAACAATGGTAACTAACCCGCAAAATATGATATCCATCAGTGCCGCCTCCAGGCACTTCTGTGCTATGGGAAGAACCCATGAGGATATTGTAGAATTATACAAAATACACTATTAAATATTAAATAAAGATTGTTTTATTGACAGTAATATTACTCCACCAACAGTTCACAACCGCAACGATTTTGACAGTGACAGTTTCGAGAATTACGTGGCATTTGTCATTTACAACTGCGTTTCGTTACTTATAAATAAATGAAAAAAAAACTCTTGGCAAGTTTATTTATATAAATCAGGACTTCGTTAGTGATTAGAGGTCTTTCTTCTACCCAAGTCATTAAGTAGCCAATAGCAATTAGTTTAGTCGCATCGCCCCTACACAAGACTAATGTGTTTTAAGCGTAGGTTTTAAGCAATAGAAAAATAATACGAAGCGTAGCTGGTGCCTGTGCACAGTCTTTTATTTTCCC